TATACATCACTATGTGTCTAGACTGCTAGCTGTAGAAGCCATGCAGTCAAGACGGTAAACTCTTAGTTAGCTTGCTCGGTTACTTTCCCTGCAATGTTTTACATGGTGTTTTTGTAGGGACCTAAACTTGCAGAGAAAACAAACCAAGATCCAGGCTTTACTACTGAAAATTCTTCAGGGGCTGAGTTCAGCCTTTTCTCCCTGTTCTGTACCACCCCACGTTGTACACTGTAGTTCTGCTGACTTTGACTCCCTGTGACTGAGAACTGTGCCACTACCTCACATTGGATGTGGTAAGGTCATACAATATATTATTCTTCTTCAAGGCATTTTGATCACCATTTATATTCTGGGGTTTAAGATGTTTCCTTCCATTGGAAAAAAATATATGCACTTAAAATTTATACAGCATATTATGAAAAATATAAAAGGCATGGACTTCCTAATGGATTCCTAGCTAGTCCTGACAAAAAGTTCTGTGAAGACTGAAGCACAGTGTCCAGTTCCAGCAGAATCACTCAGTTGAAAGCTGAGAACAAATCCCTTAGCTTCACGCAAGTGGATCTCAGAACGAACAAGCACTGGTGCTCTACAGAGCTGTAACTGAAAGAATTACCTTTTGAATCTTGAAATTATATGACCCAGAAAAATTCGTTCATGATTGTGTTTCTGCCTTCTAGGGACCAATATAAAGTTGTCGCACACTTGTAGTTGTAAAGAAATAACGCTAGAGAGCACTGCAAGTTTTGTGGGAGGAAGTACTCGTTGTGGTCTCATTTGTTACGAGAAGTGAGCTGAAAAAAACATAGTTAAGAGCTGGAGAGCACCAAAACGGAGCTCCCAGTCTGATGTTGGCTATATGCCTCCGTGCTCCTTTAACTTACCAGAGGGGACAAAAATCATTACAGAATCATAAAGCCATCAAATAAATCGGACCTCTGGAAGCCTTCATGCATTTTTTTTTTTTTTTTTTTTTGCTGGTGCAGTCCTGCTTTTATGCACTTATTTTTCTTTGCTATAGGGGCACACAGCCTATTCACTGCACAGCATGTTTTATTGCATGGACTATGGTGCTGCTTTTCTGTGTTTGGATATCTAGCCACTTTTCTGGGGACTGGTATTGTAGGCTTAATACTATTATATATGTGTTATATACATGTCTATATACTTTTATACTCTGCAAGTATATGATGCATTAATAATGAGCCTGGCCTACTGGGTGCTGTGCTAAGTGACAGGAATGCTGAGCAATCTTCCAGCCTCTGCCACTGGCCTGTTGAGTGATCTGGGGCAAGTCCTTTTACTTTTGCCTTTCCAACTGTGTCCTGGCAAGAGTGACATGCCCTTCTTTGCTAAATGCTCTCACACCCCCAGGTTAAAATGCTGCTCAAGAGATAACACTTTCTAATACATGAGGGTAAGATACAGGGTAGATCTGAAAGCAAGCAAGCTATGCCTGTGTGGCAGAATAGAGGACATCATGGAAGGCCAAACAAGCAGACTTTATGCTGTAAGTCCACATTGTGCAGTGCTGCACTTTGCTGTAGGGGCACATCCAGCCCGATGCATTACAGTCTGTTGGTATTGAACCAGGATGTGCCCACTCAACCACTGGGCTGTGGTCATGCCAGGGTGATCTACAACTGTAACAGCATCTCTGTTGTGTCTCACCTTGCAAAGACATCCTCTGTTGTCCAAAGCACTGGATGCTGTTGTGCAGACATATGGTCTGCAGGGAGATACACGACTTTTTCCCCACCAGTCATTCTCCAAGTCACAGATACAGGGTTCCAGAAGACCTTATACCATTCCAGAATATACCTTACATCATCACCAAGAACATGCTACCTATGGAAGTGGTTCCAGCAGGCTCACTGCTTCAGTCCTTTGAAGGAAAACTAAGTATATGAGAATGAATGAAAGGAGAGAAGGCAATTTGGCAGCGTGCTGGAAGGGGTGTTCACTAGCTCCTTCCTGACATGCTGTCACCAAACTGCTTAGGACACTGAAACATACTCACCCCAGTACTGCTTAGCATTGAAAAATGCATCCAAGGGAATCCATGGCACTCAGAAAAATAATCTACACAGCAACATCTTTGAGTATTAACCTGAAATTCAAAAAGAGTTGACATGCCCTAAAACCACCCAAAACCCTGCATAGGGATGAAACGTATTTCACAGGCTTCAAACCTTGTTTGCTTCCTACCTACTCAAAGACCCACATGCTGAGCATGAAGCTACTGGCATGGAAATTCATGGGTTTGCTGTTTAGATGACATCTTTTTTTTTGCTGCAGTGTGGGATAACAATGCATGGTCTTTCATTTATGGCAGGAAGTGTCTTTGGCTGTAGCCTTAGCTCTAATCATGTCTGTCTTCTGGGTGCCTCATTGTACACACAGGCTTTTCTGTGACATAGGGTTTAGAACTGAAACCCATTGTGGAGATCAACTCATGGCATTCACTCAATTGAGCTTGGAAGTCAGTGTTGCAGCTCAGCCTTCGAGAAGTGGAAAGGTCCATTTTGTTGTCAGAGCAGCAGTTCAAGTTCTTCAAAATGTGCACCCCGAGGCTGCTGGAGCCCTGTGCTGAGCTGCCGATTCTGTGGCTGAAGGTGCTGAATTCTACTTTGCAGCCCACATCACTGTTTCAAGTCTACTTTTGCCCTTGCATGCAATGAAGGACACACTGTCACACCCACAGAAGGGGTTATCACAGCTGTTATCACATTTACTCTGTGCAGAACTGGAACTGGTAACTGTGCTAACACCAGAACATTACTAAGCAACGTTAACATGATGGTTACAAGTGGAGAGTCTATGTGCAATCAGCAGCACATGTCAAGATGGGGAAGAATGTGAGCATGCATTCACTTGCCTATGTCAACAGAGCCAGTGTAGCTCCAAACTGCCAAATTCTAAATGATGTACAAAGAACTCCTACACAACAACCCCACCATCTTTCCTTGCAGATGCTGCAAGAAAGTCTGAACTGCCTCTCCATGCTCCTGCAAACAGTCTAAAAGCTCAAGGCTATAAAATCACTCTCCCCTTCCCTGACATGTGGCTGACATACACAGCAATGCCTGCTGTTTTACTGGCCTCACCAGCATTTGTGTACTGTAAGCTAAGCATATTAATCAGGTGGCTGGAACAAAAGAGGAAGTTGAGGCAAGGCTCTGCCTGGTGAAATGAGAAGACACGAGGTGATTGTGAATCCTGGGATGAGTTAAGCCACGTGGATGCCCAACCCAGATTACAGCTTGTAAAGAAGCATTTTGATATTCAGATGACGTTTTTCCACAGGAGTAACAAACCAAAAAGACTGTGACAAGATGACAGAGGTTAATAACAAGGCTGAAACAGGCTGTGCTTCTAAAGCTTTTGTTCTGCAAAATACAACAGTAGACAGCAGTGCGTTGTCACAAGCAAAACGTTTTTTCAGAGGCTGGAGATGTTCATGTGATAAAAGTGCACCTGTGACACTGTCTAAACAAACCAGAAGAACTCAGTTTAGATGAATTTACAAGAACACTGATTTATTTTAAGATGTAATGGCACATAGTGAAAGTGGCTTGCTTTATAAAATCTAACGGTTGCCTGTTAGCTTGTCTGCAGTATTCTGTTAGAGAGAAGAAGCTTACAGAGAAACCAAATGCAGTCTTTTTGCAGAGGCGCACAGCAAAACCACAAGAATCAAGGTGTACAAGTTGCAGCCCAGAGACTGTGACCAGGCAGAAGAAAAAAACTTGCAACATGTGCCCAGGGAGGCCATGGGATCTCTGTCCACAGGGATTTCTAAAACCTGCCTGGACAAAACCATGAGCAACTTGATGTATCTGTGGAACCAGATGTACTCTGAGCAGGGGTTGAACTAGAGGCCTCCAGATGTCCCTCCCTCCCTCCCCAGATGACTCCATGAACCTGCAATATGCATGCTGGCAACACTGCTTAGCCTTGGATATCTGACTCATTCATCCCCAGACTCATGGGCAGGAAAGAGGGGGCTTTCTATTGTCTTTATGAGCAGTGGGTCATTTTGCTAACAAATATCTCCTAGTTCTACTGTGGTCTTTTCCTACAACAGCCTGGATTTTTTCTTCGTAAAGTACTGTTGGCACTGAGAGATCAGTGGGTCAGACCTGATGACCCACATCTGGGTATTTAGCAATAAAGCTAGAATTTAAATGGAAAGCAAAGAAAATGATGAAAATACTTACAGAGCTAAAATAAAAAGAAAAAAAGATTATCAAATGAAAATTCTGTAGCAGTGCAGTATCCATTTTAAAAGTAAGGAAAAAATCATAATTTTACAGTATGATATAAAGAATTCAAGAAAAATGCCTTGCAAAGGCTTCTAATCACCTATTCCTTATAGAAATTAAAATTATCCTACCTTTTTGTGATTGGTCCTAACAATGAGCACGTCATGTAGACTTAAAATCTAAACTGAGAAACTCTTATGGCTATTTTGTAAGTTTGCTCTGAAAAATAACTCTGTGCATTTGTCATTTTCTTTAGGCAAGTGAGAATCTTCAAGGTCACAAATGATGTAATTGCCTTGTCTGCACTGCACTTACTGAGATTCCTCTTTTGTCTGAAAATGCATTTTTCAGAGGAGAGAGGAGAGGAGAAGAGAGAAGAGGCGAGACATGTTCCCTTAAAACAGAAACACTATTTTTTTTCCACTAGTTCAGAAAGACCCATGCTTACACCAAGTATACATGATTACATCTTGATGATCTTGAGTAATTTAGGAGAGACTGATGTGAGACATAACTGCTTAGGTGTATATGCAGTGACAGAGAGAATGAGAGTTTAAGCAACCTGTTTGGCCATCTAGCTCTTGGACTAAAATTTAAAAAAAAAAAAAAAAAAAAAAAAACCAAGAAAAATTAAAAAGGAAAGCGGGTTTTGTTTTGGGGTTGGGTGTTTTGGGGGTATTTTTTGGTTTTGTTTGTATGTGTGTGTGTGTTTGTTTTTCCATTTCAGAGCCTGCTGTAAAGGATGGTGAGAAGTTCAGGGGGAAGCAATGGAAACTGATTCAATCAGAAGACAAAAGCTCTGTTTCATGTTAGGACCAGTGACACGGCTGGTGTGTAGTTGCCATGAAACAAACCTTATTGGTATCCAGTTAACAGTATCCACATCTGCATACTGATCACTTTGTGGCTGATGGTAAAGGAACAAAAATTTAGGTACGGTGCATATAAATTGTATCTGAGTGGCACTTCTGAGTAATCTGTTCCATGATTGTCAAGGGCTCTTTTTTTTTTTTTCCTTAAACCTTTTGTTTCTGCATTTAACATTGTTACCAATGCTGAAAGTAGGAAGGAAAAGATCAGTAACAGGTCACAAAACCAAACATTATTTTTTGTTCGAATCCAGAGCGTTGAAGGCCTATTGTATGTAACAGAAAACGTGAGTAGACTATATCACAGAACAAACATTATTTTCAGTTGACCCATGTAGGTTTGTAGAGCCTATCTGCATCAAAATCTAAAGGAATTTTCTAGGTGGGAATAAAGCACAAACCCAGTAATGTAGCTCTTAGCAGGGAAAGTCTGGACTGTGCATGCACAGGGCTCCATGTCTGTGTGTTCTGAAATGTGGTTTTAGGTTTTAGAAGGGCTTTAATTCAAATCTGTGGGGTTTTTTTTTTTGCTGTTTTTGTTTGCTTGTTTTTCCCTCCAAAATAGAAGACAATACCACTGCCATGAAAATAGCCTGCAGCAAACACATGGATCATGAACAAGGAGTTAAAGGCAACTCAGGCTTTCTGCCTGTAGAGTTTCTGATTCAAGCAGGGGATAGCTCAAGCAAGTTAGGAAGAGTGGCTCAAGTCTGGTCGTAACTACTCTTACACCGAAATATTGAAACAAAATTAGTTTTAATTTGATTTTAAATTAAATTTTATGCATCATTAACATAATCCAAATTCAGTTGTTAAACCATTATAGCACTTGTTGGATAGAGCAGGTATAAATTTGAGTTACATTTTTGTAGCTTTAACCATGGTTGCAGTTACATTAGCCCCAAAACATCTTGTACTGATATATATCTTGTTTATCTTCCTTTTAGGTGAATAGGCTATGTAAGATCATGCATACAAGCATAATACATCCACAACACAGACTGTACTGCTTCAGCCGTTCTCGTGAGAACCAGCAAAGCTTTTGTACCTGTGTAAGTCTGGGTTTGGATATTCCTTAGAAACCTGGCTCTGCTTTGGCCAAAAAGATTTTTTTTTTTTATTAATAAGAAGATTGTTTTTTAATCTTCATTTTCTCCTGTATTCTGAAAGGCAAGAAATCACACAAGAGACAGAATGGTGTCAATACACTTTGAAAGTGTGTTGAAAGATGTAACTTCCTTCCTTTTATCTGTTTCTCAGCCTTCCTCAGAGCCATAGCACAGTGTCTGTATACTTCTGGAGGCAGGCAAAGCTAATACAGGATGCAACCTACTATATTAAACCAGCTCTTTCCATAAGACAGAGGGACTTACTCATCAATGGCAGGTGATATCACATATGCAGACGTGGCAATGCTACCGAGGGAAAGACCACACATTCCTTCTCAGACATCAGTTCCAGGTAAAATACCTAATCAGCTCTTGTGCACACACTGTCTTCTCTCGAGTGCTCTCTTTCTCTCTTTTTAATTTTTAGAATTATCTATGGGTAATATTAGAAGAATGCTATAAAATGCTGCATGCAAAAGGGTGAAAATTTGCAAGTGGTGGAAGAGATACTCATGAGATACCGATGGGCAAAGCTACTCCTCAGTCACTATCGCTACAGAGTAGTGTCTTGGTTCTGGCCATTATTTCAAGTAACAGTATGCAAAACAAAAACTGGATATTTTTGAATAATGAGCATAATCTCTTTCCTTTTTTTTTTGGTTTTTTTTTTCTCTTTTTAAATCAGATCTATGCATTTTATGATGTCTTCATGGAAAAAGAGTAGAACATTATCTAGTAAATCAGAAAGCTAGTGGCAGTGCAGTCACTATCACTGAAGGAAGTACTGAATGATTCCTAAAACCCTCCTGCTCTTCCTCTTTAATTTTCCAGTAGTGATTTCCCTAAAACCACATTATCAATCTGTGATCACTTCATATATTTGTAAAAGACTACAGAGGATTAAGTCAGTATTCAGGGAAAAGAGATGATTTTTGTTTTTTTTAAGAGCTAAGATTTCCACTACTTGGAAAAAAGAAATTAATTCATGAAAGCATTTTGTCAAAATTCTGGATCACAGCTAATATGAATAACAGCTTCTCACTATGAGCATTTAATTACTTAAAGAAACAATATTGTGTGATGAGCATTTCTAGAAGATGTTCTGCTTACAATGTAGATTAATAGTGATGATGGTGTTCTGAATGCATGTACTTTTTAGTGCAAGGTGTCCCTGCCCATGGAGGGGGTTGGAACTAGATGATCTTAAGGTCCTTTCCAACCCTAACTATTCTGTGATTCTATGATTCTACCATAGAATATGATTCCATATGATTCTTCCCCCCCATCATTAAAAGGATGGGGGGAGAGGGGGAAAATTATATCTTTACAAGACGTGTATCTAAAAAATAAAAGTTCACTTAATTATATACCTAACATAAAGTACTACCTTAGACTGTATGTTTATGCATCCATGGATGTTGTTTGTACTCCCATAACCTGTACAACACAAACCACAGAGGGTTTGCCTAGAATTTTACCCAGTTTCTAAGAAGACATCAAGTCTTGATTTGAAGACATCCAAGTATGTCCCTTGATCATGCTGTCTGAAGGAAAAGCTTCAATTTAAATAGGCTAGGCTTTAATTTCCAATTCAAGTTCTCATTAACATCTAGATAGTTCTTGTTAAGACTTTATCAGATAGCTTTTGGCACTCGGTATATTCTCACATGAAGTTACTGGCCACAGTAATAAAGTAATTTCTCAGTGTTCTTTTGCTTTCAAGTCTTTCATTCTAGCTTTCTGAAGTTTTTCTGGTCATTCTCCAGTGTTTCCATCTCCTACCAAAATACGGGCACTAGAGATGCACCCAGTATTTCCACAAGTCGCAGTTATTCTGTCTCTGTTACACAGAGACAAAAGTATCTTAAATAATCCTTCCTTCACTGTTTATAATGCCTGGTGTCTCCTTGCCCTTTCTCTCTCCCCACCTTTGTCTGCTTATACTAAAACACGGTTTGTTTGACAGGGCTTGAATTTACAGGGCTATCATTATGGCTGGCTTTTTTTTTTTTATTGTTTGTTAACCTTCCTGTTATTTTGGATTTTATTAGCAATTATTTTTCTACTTTGACACAAATGGAAAAAGCACCAAATAGTATTAAGCAATATTGGACTTCATATAAGCATAGAACATGCTAGAAATACCTCCCTGATGACAATTCTTTCTCTGTCTTCATCATTAACATACATTAACATGACTTTTATCACTATTAAAACAGACAAGAACTTGAGCCATATCATCATGCTTTAAAAATGCAAATGAACAATTCCAGTTCCTTGATGTTTTAAAACTGACTGAAATTCACACATAGTCATCCAGGTGGTGAGTGTTCTTTTATTACAAGAAATTCTTGTAAAAGAAAAGAGTAACTTTCAGGAAGAAAGGGAGAAAATGGATTTTTTCCACAGAATAAGTTCTGTAATTTTTAAATACTTGGTATGAAATTCAGGAAATAATCCTGAAATGTGATGGACATGTTCAGCAATATTCATAAAACAGACTTAAGCTCAGTGTAAGTACAGCAGTGGTTAGTGTTGCTTCCCCACTGCATAGTAATGACTCCCTGAGATGCCCTGCAGCTCTTTACACCTAACAGAGGAGAGTCCGGGATCCTAGCATGGTGAGCAATGAACTGCCCAAAGTGGCTGCATAATAGGATAGAGCAATGACAGAAGGTGCTGCTCGGTCAACCATTTCTGGGAATTAGATCCTTCTCTAGGAGCTAGAAGGTGCTCTCTCCTACATTGACTGGGCTCAAAGCTGCTTCAGACAGGACAGCATCCACATGCCAAACACACTTGTAGCATGTCCCACTGTTCATGAAGAGGTTTCAATGCTTCCTCCTTTGGAACGGGAATTTGAATCTGATCCTCAAAGTGAGGATTCTCAGCTCCAAGGTGGGAGCTGTGGCAAGCATCACAAGCTCTCCCTTTGGCACTGTCTCTACGACACATTGAAATGCCTGCTGGAGAATGGCTCATACCCACATCCCTACCTTTGCCAGATTTTTTGCCAGTGTTGCTCTTGGCCAGGGATATCTGCCTTTCTTGCAAAAAAACAGAAGCGGCTTCAAGATGAGCATGAGGGAAAGCACTGCATAGGGGGTAAAACTGTCACCATGGAGGAGGGAGGGAGGGCTGGATTTAAACACCACTGCAGATTCAGCAGATGAATGCTCTGAGTAGCAGATTCCCAGACTTTAGGCAAGGCTTTAAATCACAAGGCTATCAGAAAGTAGAACATGCTCAGCTCCTCCTGGCTGCACTTTGTGCAAGTTTCAGACTGTTAGGCTGTAAACTGCATACTGGAGTAGATACCAAAAACTATGAGTGGGGAGCATAGGTAATTTACCTTGCTAACATGTAGCTTCTGTCAAGATCTGGTACACATGAAAGGTAAACATGAGGGAACCTGAATTTCTGCCAAGGTTTCTAGTAGTTGAGTAGGTGTTTTAAATATGTAAAATTTGGATTTGAGAATAAAAGTCTCTATAGATCATATTTTCTGTTTTTCCCTATCCATGCTAAAGGGATTTGGTTTGGTCAAGTTACAGAGTTTCTGTTCTTATCTCAAAATCTATTCAATGTATTTTCATGGAATCATAGAATCAACTAGGTTGGAAAAGACCTTTAAGATCATCAAGTCTTGTGAGGATACAGAAAAGGGATATAAAAATCACTGGTGGCATAATTGCAAAACATGCATAGATTCGCAATATAATGCCAAGGAAAGCTCACTCACTGAAATCTATAGAGTGGGAAAACTGTGTTAAATAATGTTTAACACAATGTATCAATAAAAAATGTCTGCAGCTCCCAGTTTGGGAGGCTGCACCCAGAAAAGGGGTCAAAATGGATTTGTTGTGATCCTGTTCCAATGAGAAGATCCATACCGGATTGTTGCACAACCAGTTGGACTTCAGCTGTGAGTCAGGTGCTCTGAATTACAAGGACAAGGTGATTTTGGGATGCTCTACTAGAGCAGGTTGAGGAGGAGTTGGTACTATCTGTGAACATGCTTTGGTGGGCTAGCAAGTGCTTCAGAACAGATGTTCAAAAGTAGAAAAGTGTTACAAAAATGCAAACAAAGATAACTACAGACTGGAAATCCATCTTCTAATGAAAGACTCAAGTTCCTAGTTTACTCAAGAATAATTTGAGAGTTACTTCATTATGATTCATAAATGATTACCTATAAGACCTTTCCTCTAGCAGAAAAACAAACCAAGAAGAGTTCAACTCCATTCTCAAAGTAGCCCACGAATAGTTGTAGGCTGCTATTAGTTCTCCCCTTAGCTTCTTGTTCCCCTCCCTACCATCCTGTCCAGTCCTTGACCAGGCCCGCTCTCTGTTGGACCCTCTCCAGTTTCCCCCAGGTCCATCCAGAATGGAGTGGACCACATCTGGACACAGTGTTCCAGGTGTGGCTGCAGCAGGAGCAAGTGGAGCAGCACAGGAACTTCCCCTCCTTTGCAAGCCAGAGGTCTCTTAACTCAGCCCCGCTGGTGGCTTGCACGATCTGTAACGATGAGGGTGCATTGTGGGCTCACACTCAACCTGATGTCCAGTGAAACCCAAGAGCCTGGTGTCTGTAAAGCCTGACACTTCTGAGTGACTGACCTGACAGAAGCATTCCCTGTTTGCACATTCACCACGTATAACCTTCCAGTAAATAGAGATGTCTTTCTGCACTTGAAAATTTGCATATAGAAATAAAGTGAAATTTCAGTATAAGTAAGTGACAGAGATCTCCACCTAATACCAGGGCTACTTGTTGCTAAACTAGGTAAGGGAGCATAAGCATCCGGTAAAATTAAGTTTATGTGGTACTTTAAAAATGCTGCCTTCTGAGGACTTGACATTCAGATGCCTATGTGCCAATACACACCATGATAGAAGTAATCCTTTTTTTTCAATATTCAGTTCATGTGGATAATAATTTCTTTTTCATACAGTCTGAGAGATGTTATTTAAAGGAATGGATCTTTATTTGAGAGAGAAAATACTTAGTAACAGGAGCAGATTTTCTAAAGTACATATTTTATAAGAAGTGTCTCCATTTATAAGGCTCGTGCATTGAAAAGTTTGAAAGTCCTAACTGTTGCTTGAAAAATAGTTACACTCTAAGAAGAAAAACTTTTATAAGCATTTCTTTTGAGAGCAGTTACTTATCCATGCAGGTAACCAGAACTTACACATTTTCTGCAATTCATTGAACTAATAAATTGCAATAAAGCAAGCAGCAAAGTGTACTAGGTCAGGTTCTCTAAAGCACAGAACAGCTTACCTGTATGAATAAATCTTATTTGCCTCAGGTCCTCACTATTTTTCTTACTGCAAAACCTCAACACACTTCAGTAATTCTCATATCAAAAACTACCTCATTTAACAGAGTAAGACCCTCTTCTTCCAAGTTTTTCCCTGATCAGTGAGATTTTATACAACACAAATTGCTTGCTTTGTTTTAAAAGCCCCAGTGATCACAAACTAAGACTGTAGCATGAAGCTTATTCTTGATTCAGATTGGTAAAATTTCACCATTTATGAAATCAAGATCAGTCTACCAAAGGTCCAAATACCATCTATAAAACCAGGGAGTAGCTCTACAAAATACCCCAATAAAACAGAATTTTAAATGTTTTCATAAAGAATCTAACTCACACCATGCTGTTTTAATAGTTTTTTTTTTTTGTTGTTGCTTTGGCAATGTGCACCTGGAAATGGTATCTTCAACCACCAGATCCCTTCCTCTGCTATTACAGGCATCACATAATATCCCAGCGTAAACATTCACAAGTCAGGAATGCCCCCAGGAGTCACCTTGCTGCAGAAACATTTCTCTGAATGGCAGTTTTCCCTTTGGGATCTCCCTGGTCCACAAAGGGGTCATGGCTGTTAAGTCCTTATGATATCTCCTGAGGTGGCTTAGCAACAATGGAATATTTGTGATGGATAGTACCCAGGTCTTACCCATCTTTTAGCCTGTCTGCCTGCCTCCTGGTCCAACCATACAGGACACAAGTCGTTCAAGCAGAGATTATGGAGGAGGCTTTTAGTTACTTCCTGGCAGCAGCAGGAAATGATCAGTCATCATCTCAACTGATTTTTCCTAAAAGAAAATGCTGAACTAGCAGCTATGGAAACACATGCCCCTTTTTATGCAGACTAGGTCTTCTGTGTAATTCTTTACTGTTTCTCCAGTTAATGGCTTGTACAACCACAAATGTCAGCATTTCCCTACTCCTTAACAGGAAACATGATCACATATGCTGAACTGCGTGTGAAGACGAAACCCAAAAGGAGCAGCAGATCAGAGACTTCCGCTTCTGGTAGTGTGCTATTTTGTTTGGCCGTTGGTTACTAACTATAGATGTAATCTTTCCTATTACCCAACAGTAAAAGTTGTTGTCAAAGAGTCTTTACATACAATCTCTCGATAAAGAACTGATTTATCACTTAATAAGGTTTCTTTTTTCTTTTCCTGGGTTCTCAGATAATACATTTACCCTATAAAAATAATATTGAAAGAGATTTTAAAAATAATTTTTAAAAATGCCTTTGTGCCCTACATTGAAAATTTAGTGAAGGAAAGTAAAATTCCACAGATTTTAGGAACCCTGCTGTTAAGTTTCTCTGCAGGAACAGTAACAGGGACACCTTTGGCTTTGGAAGTAGTGTAATACCCAGCTCCCCATGTGCAGTTAGTGTGCTGATGGACTGCCAGCCTCCCTGTATTGAAGGACATGTTCCAGGCAAGATCAGGCCCCCAGAAAGCTGCAAGGGAACATTACAAAACATATCTCAGGCAGCTGGAGAGTGGGGGAGTTGCCTATCTATCTCATGCAGGCAATGTCAGGAAAACAGCAGTATGAAAGTGCAACCCTGTGGCTTGTGGAAATAGCACCATGACCTCAAATTTCCTCAGGCTCTGCCTCCTCGTGAGTGATTCACTCTCACAAGCTGATGAGTGTCAAACAGCTGGAGAGATGCTTGTCAGATGTACTTCACTGTGCTATGGTGTCAGTATGTGTTGTGTTGTCTTTTCAGTGAATTCAGGTAAGTTAGCTTTCAGGCAGGTTAACACAAGAGAGTGCAGCCAGAGAGGAGCAATGTACCACAGACCATCCCCGATGCTTTCCCTGAACTGCTCTGCAGGGTCTTGCCAGGTGTGGGTGGGTGGGTGGCAGAAGGCAATGCCTGAGAAAATTAACTCAGAGGAGAGAGAGTGAATTCTTAATAGAGCGATTGATTGAAAATCACTTGCTCTATCTGACCAAATGATCTTTCAGTTTCACTTGCATGTATGTAAAATGGATGCAAATTCTTAATGAGTAAAATGTCCCTGCATGCTTGCAAACGGCAGACTGATCTCTCTCTTGCTTCCACGTAAGAAACTCACATAGATAAAGGCAGTGTTAACAGTGCAAAGACCTAAAGCCACTTTTCTTCCCACTTCCCTCCAGGCTGGCGACACAGGCGCTCAGCCTGGTTCTACATGGCACTGGTCCTGGGAGCCCTTGTGCTTGTCCTGCTAGGTGTCATAGCTGTACTAGCCAAGCAATGTGAGTAGATCTTTTGTCTCTTCATTGCATACATGGTGAAACCTCAAAGGCAGAGTCACACCAAAAGAGAAATTCCCTTAGTGTTGCATGAAAGGTGTCAAGTTATACACAAATGCAGGAAAATAAATGTGGCTTTCTACTTGCTACCTGTCATTTAACATATATTGTGCAGCTGAAGTGGAGTTGCTGCAGTCTACCTTGTCATCAGCGATGCTGAAAAGTGTAGAAGGTTTCAAATCATTATGACAATCAAAACATTTGCACTTCCTGACTTAGAAGTTAAAACTTGCATCTATAATGCTACTTTGAGACCATTTTGCTTAATTTCTTTGTAGGTTTGAACAAATGAAATAAAACCCAGACTCAGATAATTTCATTTAATGAGACTTCCCTGGTACTAGTAATATCATAATCCATAGCATGCTTCAGCTGTACAAGAACTGTTCCAGAGGGATATTCATCTCATAAGAGAAAAGAGTTTGAGAAAACTTCAGAAAACACATTCCTTCCAACTATCCCTAAAATCTCACCAAAATATTGTGTATTCTTTATGTAATGATAAACTTACTTTTTCTATACTGTCCGTATTATTTAGCAGCTACACCCTTTGCCAGGGTATGGCAGTATACACAGAATACACACAGAGTATGCTTATAACTGAGTGTTACCCCCCAGTGTATATGTACATACACGTATCCTCATATTCACACAGTATAAGACTAAATTTCCTTGACCCTGTTGCTAACCATTATCTTTTTGTTCAAGTTTTGAAGTGCAGAGCAAGCAAATCAGAAAGTTTGTCCCATATTGGTGTAAATAGCACTGGCAATCACACCTCCTCAGAGAAGACTGTCTTGGCAGTGCTCCTGAAATGGCTCATGGAGGAACTGTGTGAAGATGGACAGGGTGAGGAAAGTTAGTCCTTTCCCAGCACAGAGGACGTGTTGGGTGCACAATTCTGTTGTCTCTGTTCCTGTTTCTCTGACACTCTGCAGTTTTTGGTGACTCACTGATTCTACCCAGGGAACATGGCATTCTGCACAGAAGTGATGACAGGATCTGAATTAACAGTTTATGACAATAGTTTTGATCCTCTTTTGGTATAAATACTTTCTGGTACTTTCTTTACATTTATTTCTGCCAGGAGCTTCTGTCAGAAATGCCGTATCTTGTAGACCCTCCCATTGTTCGGGAAAACACCTTCCAGACAGTAATTGCAATAAGTGGGAGGTAATTTCCTATCCTTTTGCAAGGATCAGGAAGGGGAAGAATTTGTGGTCTTTCTATTGTGGATCTATTATTTGCTATCAAATACTAATCCTTTTCTAAGAACTGATTGTAACTGTGTTGCTTGTAAACATTAAAGGAAATAATGGGGGATGTTCCTTCCAAATGCTCTGTGTGAAATAGGAAGTAGACCTGGGAACAGCAGTGTTCCTCTTCTGTAACACAGTTCTTTCTCCAGCTCCATGGACACGGTTTGGATAAGCACCTGTGCTTTCTGGTCACATCATGTGTCAAATCCACACACTCCACATCACACAGTGTCTCCTCAGAGGGACTGCATGTGGGGAGATGAAAAGTGTCTTGTCAGTATTCTATGTACTTCCTGCTGATGCTCTCCACCGGGCAGGTGCCCAGGGAGGTGGAGAGCCCAGTGATGCGCAGTGGGAGTGCAGAAGCACGTAGCACCATGGCAAGGGAGTGGGAGTTTGAGCAGAGGAATGGCACTGGAGCCTTCAAGTATCTCTCTACACCCAGTGAACATAGGCTTGGGAATGGGGACAGGCTGCTTTCATGCTACCCAGGCACATGAACATAAAATGCTACAAGGCAAATGGAACAAGTCACTCTGCGAGCTAACTGTTCCCTTTCTCCACTCACAGGAAGAACATGCGAGCTGTGTCCTCCTGGGTGGCAACTGCACAGGAGCAGATGTTACTACTTCTCTGAGGAGGCTGTAAGCTGGGATGATAGCCAGAAAAACTGTCTGGCCAGGAAATCCCAGCTTCTTGTTATTGAAGATGAAATTGAAATGGTGAGTCTTTCAGCAGCCCTAAAATTGTGCAATGGGTATCTGCCTTAGCCAAACATTTCACCAGGTGAACATAGGCCAAATGTCAGGTGTACATGCAGGCAAGTGAGAGCCCCATCAAGTGCAAAGCATCTGACTCTCCACAGACAGGAGCTTGTTTTGAGAGTGTCAAGAGAGTAGAGCTAAAGAGGAGAGGCACAAGAGATGCAAGGGTAGAAACCAGAGTACTTTTGACCAGGAGGAGGAAATGGCAGGGAATTCCCACCCATTTCCATTAGTTGGCTCTGGGAAGAGAGGTCTGATTCAACCACTAAATGAGAATACAAACAGCCAGACCTGTTTCTCATTTTCCTTTGAGAAAAGTAGCTGAATGGCTCTTCTGAGAAACTCAAAATTCCCTGAGGAACAGGTCTCACCCTAAAGCCCAGGCTTTGCAACCTGGCTCATCAGGGTGAGGAGCGTCACTGAGGGGTTTTTTGAAGCTAGTTAACCTGAGCGCCAACTGGAATTAAAACTGTGGCTGGTCACATGCGTATGGGCCATTGTAATGGGCTGCTTTGCCACAGCTGGATTCCTGCCGTTGCTCTCCATGTGAAGGACTACATGAAAAGCTGTGCATGAGACAGGATCGTGACTTGGGCACAGCAGAAACGCTCTACTGTTGGGTAACATGCTTCTGCTTGTTCCACAGGAATTCATAGACAATAAAGAGAAAGATACCAAATATATCTGGATTGGCTTGAAGATTCCAGAAATGAAGAAACAATGGAGTTCAGTTGAAGATCCTGGAGTAAAAGAAAACAGGTCATGATTTGTGTGTGTGTGCTGTCTTTGGCAATAGCAAAAGTATAGTACTTTGCATGGAAATTCAACTCTGAATCCAAGCTAATTTCCCAAAGCACAGATCTAGTCCTACAGCGTCAGGCACCTATTCAGGGTCTATTTCACAGCCAGTTCCAGCTTGTCTGGTTCCTGCTGGGCATCTTTGGAAACACCTGGTTTTTGCCTGCAAGACCAACCACAGTCACAATTCATGTATGTATGAATGTAGAGGGACATTAACACACACTTCTCTCACTGATATCGCTATCAACAGACTCAACTGACTTTACAGACCATATATTGACCACCTCTGTTGAAAGTGATGCCTGTCACATAGCATGGGTGCTAGGATCTGTGCAGCAGATCTCTTACCATTACAGCTCATCACCATGGCTGCATGTGGAGCCTTTCTTTATCCTTCTTACACTAATGTTCCTGAGCATACATCCCTCAGCAGCCTGCAGTCATCTCTGCTGTGGATGCTCATCCCACCGACGCATGGCTGTTGAGGAAGTGGGCTTCAGTCGGTTACAGACTGGGTACCACACAAACCCCTCACTCAGAGTATCATCAATATTTTTATTCAGTACTGAATTTAAAGCTGTCAGCTCATTGCATTCCTTTTGTTCTCTCACCAGGAAAGCCATAAAGAGAATTGAGACTGACAAGAATTGTGCTGTTTACAGAAGAAAAAACATGATCCAAGTAGATAACTGCCAGACTTTAAAGAAGTGGATCTGTAAGAAGAATGCAACTTTGTTGGTGCTTTGAGCCAAATCATAGAATCACAGAATAATTTGGGCTGGAAAGGACCTTAAAATCATCTAGTTCCAACCCCCAATCATCAGCCAACAGGCAGAGCTTTCTCTCAGAAGACCCATTTTACTGATAAAACAACATGTGATGTAAATAATTTTAAGAGATTTCCACAGAAATCTGTATTTTGCTGTTCTGTGATCCCTAAGACTTTTGTTTGGATGCAAACAGGGAACTCAGAAGCTGCCAGGTGCCTGTGTGAAGGTCATGCAACAGGACTGCACATCAGCATGTCTGGATTTGGGGGTGCTGAGCCTTCTCACAGACAGTCACTGGCAGCAGTTGCCTCTGGGAAAAGGCAAGGGAGAAGAGGTACTCATGTGAAGATGAGCACTGTGCACCTGAACTGTGTGATGTGCAAGAAATTAGAAGCTGAATTCTTACTAATTTCCTAGAATTTATGCAATAATTTCAGGGCCAGTCAATGGGAGATTCTAAATTTCCAGAGTTTTACTATAATTTCATGTACTTTTTACCTTAACCATATGGGGTTAGTTGTGTTTGGAGGAAACAGAGCAAAACAAAATCTAGCATTAAAATCCAAGGTGCAACTCTACCACAACTGCACAGACTGGAATTAGAGTCTTTTTTAACAATGAGAGGGGGAAACAAGTCCAACATGGCTTTTGAAATTTAAAGCATTTATCTCATCTTTGCTATGATACACACAATTAAAGGCAGCTGCAGTTTCCCAGGCACATTGTCTCATACCTGCACTAGATGTGTAGTGTCCCTGTGGAGGGATGTGGTTAATGTCTAGCAACTTGTGATGAGTAACCAACATACATGCTTGCTTGCACATGAGCTCTTGGTATAAAGTCCTATGGCTTTTGCATGCAAATGACTGCAGCTATGGAACAAAATGAGCAATATGGTAAGACCTAGAGACTGACACCTCTCCATCTGCACACATTGATGGGCAACATTGCACTTAACAGAGGTGCTAGGACAGAGATGCTAGGAAGGTAGTAGGCATGTATAAGTGAGAGTTAAAATGGCATAAGAGATCTTCAGTGAAAGAGATACCAAGCACATGACACAGTCTGCTGTGTTCCACTGGCACAGCACAATGGATCTTCATTACTTTGGGGCTACAGATTGAACAGTACAGTATCTTCAGGGTGGCTGACTTCTTTTCAAATGAATAAACAACGCAGAATTACTCCCTCCAGAATGCAGCATCACCAGCTAAAGACTCATTTGAAAAACTGGTTTTCTCATGTTAAAAAAAAAATAACAGTGAAAAATCCCCCAAATTCAGTGCAGCTTGTGTTTGGGGAAGAGGAGTGGTTTGTTTATTCTAAACAGAGAAGCAAAGGCAAGGGAAGAGCCTGAAATGAGTAAGATATATCTATCTATCTACAGTATACATATCTGTCTATACGTATTTTTACATAGATATATTCCAATTGAGGAAATATAACTTCAGGGTACTTAAAGCATATCCTTCACCACTGAACTGCTGGTTTTATGGCAGATGTTTCTTGAGCCATGCTGAATTGACAAGAAAAACTTAAAACTCCCGAGCTGCCTTCTCTCTAATCGGTTTTGGTGTTTAGGTTTTAACAATATTCATGAAACATCTAGTATTTGAGCAATCTCTGTTACTAACGTAATTAAACATGTTTTTGCAGGGCCTTAGGAAGCTCTTACTGACATCTGAAACAGTCACTAGGTCTTGAGTAATTCCACCAATTAAAAAAAAAAGAAATGGTCACTGAAGTACTTCATCAAACCCTACTCTGAGTAAAGTTAGATCATTAGTTCTTGACCCTTCATTTCTTAGCATGACAGACTTTGGATACTGAAGAAGATGCTAACTGCACCCCTTAAGATTACAACAGAGCTTTCATTATAACCTACTGTGCTAACAGTTGCTCCAAAACCTCTTTTAAGAACCAAAATTTCCCTTTTTTTGGACTCTACCTATAGACGACACTGATGGAAAAGAAATGCAAAAGTGATGTTATTTTGTAGTTAAAGGCAACATTCAGGTAAATCAGTTCATTAAGAAAGGCTAAGACACAACATGGTACATGAATACTCCTTATCCCTTACAATTTCCACTGATTCTGTGAAATGTACCTCTAGTATGCCCCTAATGCAAATATTTAGAAAACCTTACAAGAACAAATGCATAAAATTCCACCTTTCCCTCCAAGGTTACTGTAGTTTGTGCGTTTCTCTATGTACATTTCAGCACAGTTTCCACAGGAGTACTTCAGCATTTCAGTTACATGCTTTTGTTAAAAGTCTGACACATTCTGAAACATGAAAGTGTGTCAGAAGTGTTAGAAAGTAAGATGCTCTCTTCTTTGGGTGAAATGTCTTGTCTCCTGTTAATGCCAACATTATGACTGAAGATCTTTTCATATTCAAAACCTGAACTTTTTTGCTTTAGTCTGGTGATTTTCTTTTCCCCCATATGGTACCTGAGCTAAAAAAATACTGTTAATGGCACCATACTAAGACACAAACCACTGTAATTCAGAGGCTCTGTAAAGATATTTAGTAAGTACCTTTTCAGGACTATTGCACATACCATATCCTTCAGAGCTAGTTAAGTTAAAAAGATTGCAGAATAACACCTCCCCAACTAGTTACATATAAATTAACACATAGATTATTAGGCTGTTCAGACCATAGAGTCCTGTTACTGTGCCTATAAAGAATATAAGCAATTATAAAAAGGGTAGTTCAGCAAAATTAGTGCTCAGATATAAATAACCATAGTAAAGTCAGTTGTTAACAATAACCATACTGCATGGTCCTGTTACAGCAAGGTCCCATTGCCACAGAAAATAACGAAGCCATAAACAAGATGCTGAACAAAAGTAAACAGAAACTAATCTGCATAAAAACACAATGAAGGCAAAAATAATGACAAATAGGACAAGAAAACCCAACGAACAAACATACATCAAATGAGCTGTCAAACATGGTGCAGTTTTACATTCTCAGCAATCGAGAAGACGCAATTAGCTTCCCTTCTCTGGAACTACAGTGCACTCTAGTGGCTACTCCAAAAATTGCTCCACTTGCTCCTTCAAGAAGTCCCACAGAGCCCATAGTCCTCTCCATAGCAGCCACATCACAAGAAAAACAATAGTCCGGACTTTATGCCGAGCAAGGAAGCTCTTTTGCCCTGCTTTACACGTGAATTTCCCATTTTTTTCCTTCTCTAGGTACCCGATAGGAGTAGTCCTTCCAGGAAAACCAGCTGCTTTGCTTCCTCTGGGTCAAAGTGCACTTTAAATCTTCAGGTTACCTGCTAGACATGAGCGGACAGGGTTCAGCGGGATTGTGCCTCAGTTCCTTTAAGGCTCATAGCAATTCAACAGCATGGGATGTTGCTGCTGAAAACAATATGCACACAGAAGAAAACACTTACTGTTCTTCCAGAAAATAGATTGTCCACCCTCATGCTCAGACAGGCACAGGCCATGAGAAAGCCGCGGAGGAACATCCTTTTCTCTCAATTCTCTTATTCATCCTTTGCTGTTAATTCTTTTATTCCCTACTCATGACTTCGCCTATTTGCACTGAAAACTATAGCTAACTTTATAACATTAATGCCTGCAGCTTCACTATTACTGTTTCAACTCAAACTTCTTCCCCATCCATGCAGATGCTCAGGTGAATACTCTTATCTATCCTGACTTTTCTTTTTGCTGTGGGAAGGAGAACCTCAGGTTATGTAGTGCAGCTACATAAATCCCACAGTGTTAATACTGTCAAGCTAATTTAGCAAGATTAATGTAAAATAACATTAACAAAACACAATATAATGCAGAGTCACACAAGATGCACCTCATCAAACTGGGAGAGCAGAATCTGCAATGATCCTGTCCAAACCAACAGTGCTCATTTCTGCATCATCCTGTATCTGAGAGGCACTGCAGAATTTCAGGCAGACCCACACTTCACAACCCATCCCTGCACACAGAGGTTGGCTAAGGAAAAAGCAGAACAAACACCTCCGACTGCACAACAAAAAGGAAAAGAGCAGTTGCTGCTGATCCTACAAGAGAAGAGTTAATGGAAGAAATACTGATAACATATCAAAAGGCACCTACAGGATGAGTGGTAGCTAGAAAAATGGGGCAATGAAATGGCTTATCAAGATGCTGAAGCCTTTTAAATGGTTACGTTTAAACAACAGAGGCTTCCTCCATGGGTGCAGAATTCTGGCTACCACAAAAGCCATTCACCTCCAAGCAGGAGCTGAGATGTGTTCCCAGGTCCCAGAGTATAGACATAGTCTGTGCAGACATCAGAGCACCAAGTATCAGGTGTGGTAGCTTCATCCCCCTTTATCCTGATAAGCCAATATTCAAACTACAGACCCACTTCCTGGTTAAATAACATCCAGAGGCCGAGACTCCTTTGGATTCAAGATAGGCACAGTTTCCAGAGCCTTTTACTTCAATCCTGTATAAGAGAATGAAAGACAATTACTTTGACACCCACAATCAAGTAATGCAATAAAGCAAAGAGAACTTCAGGATCACAGGTTCTCTTTGTACAAAGCCTGATTTACCATAGTCAAGGCATCACAGGATGGTAGCTTATGCTTTGAAGAGAACACCACTAAGATCATCTTTTTCTAATGGGGCCTGGCCACCAGAATACAAAATCTAGGACTTGCAGTACTCCCCCCATCTTGTCTAGTGGTCGCTTAACGTCAAATATGCCCGTATTGCAGAGACTGGAATTCAGGTTTGCCCTTCTCAAGGACGCTATCCTATCAAGACTGGCTCCACCTTTGACTTCCACATCCTTTTATACAGCTAAAACATCCCAATACAAACTGGGAAACAAATGCTTCTCTCATTTCCCTCTTCCTCAGAACTGAACATTGTACTATGGTTAAGAGGGTGGTGGAAAACAGGAAGCAAAATTCAATTTCCACACTGTAGGTGTCCCTGTATAAGGGGTAAGGGTCTTCTTCGCCAACTCTATTCTCAAACCAAGTGTGACAGTATTCTGTGAATAGTGCAACCAAACTACTGTGGTCTCTGGAAAAGCCAAGGGACAAACCCCGCCAGTGTTAACATAACAGCAGCAGCAACTGAGCTTAGACATTAAAATGTTTGCCTTTCTAAAGATGGAAGGGGGATTCTGAGGCAAGCACAGAAGCAGAAGTCTAAGAATGTGAACTTCATCACTGAAAATGAAAGCCTCAGTGGATGTCTGTATCACAGGCAGGGGATAAGCAAGAGTAGGAAAGGCTACAATTTTCAACTTGAGATGCCTAGGTGTTGCTCACATCTCACATTAAGTGTGTAAGGTCTTTATCAGATCAAGCCCTCAAGTCTTGGAAATCGACTGAATACAGTCACATACCACTAGTCATGTCACAAACTTAAAAGTATTTAAATTTTCCACTTTTTAAGTTAATTTCAGGCTTTTGAAATCTCAATGCTTATTACTGCCACCGGTAATTCTACCATCTCCTGCCAGCAGCTGCCCAGGACAAGAAGCAGCAACCTCTGAGAAGATGGGACAGCCACTGGGAGGAGGACCAAACCTCCCCACACCTGCCATTGGTGGGATAGAAGACAGGGCCATGACCACAGAGCAGCTCATGTAACATAAATTCACAGCTCCACCTTTCCCTCCAGCAGCCTTTTCTGTAGACACATCCTGTAGGAAGCAGGAAAACATCTTAAAAGCCTCCCAAATAATTAGCTATAAACCTCGTGCAGGTTGTATGTAGGTTTGCACTTTTGCAAAATGTATTCTATAATGAGGAATTTGTATTACTGTAATTCCTCCTCCTCATCGCTTTGCTATCTTGGTGGTTCCTTTGTTGCTTCTGAACCTGGCATCACAAATTTAGATTCTAACATTCATTTGGTTTAGCTTTAACAATGCTAAGTGAAATCTTTTTTGTATTCCATGCTCTCTCCATAGTCATCCCTTCAACATCACTACAGTTCTTTCTTTCAAGGATTTAGTTATCCTTCCTTACTCCCCTATAATCTAGTATCACCAGCAAAACCCCTCAACATCGACTTACAGTGTAGTGTCTAATGCTTTCCCATCTACCCAAAAGAACTCTTCATTTCTTTTACAGAGTCCAATCCAGGGGTCTTGCTTTGTTATCTTCATCATAAAACTCTGCAGAAATAAACCCATATGAGAATAGTTTTGCATGTTCAGTGCAGCTATCAAAACACAGCCTTTGACCCAGGGCTTGAAAGCAAAACAATGATCCTGCCTTTCTCCTGGAAGAAACAATAATTAAAATTAAATCTACAACGTACTGCAGTGTCTGGATCTTCTGTGATGCACATCACTGAAAGAACTTTTGGCCAACGAGAAACTTAACATGAGCCAGATTCAGTGTGCCCTCGTAGCCCAAAAAACCAACTGTATCCTGGGCTGCATCAAAAGGAGTGTGACCAGCAGGTCGAAGGAGGTGATCCTGCCCCTCTACTCTGCTCTTGTGAGACCTCACCTGAAGTATTGTGTGCAGTTCTGGTGTCCTCAACAGAAAAAGGACATGGAACTGTTGGAGCAAATCCAGAGAAGGTCCACGAGGATGATCAGGGGACCGGAGCACCTCCCGTTTGAAGACAGGCTGAGGAAGTTGGGGCTGTTCAGCCTGGAGAAGTCTGTGTGGAGACCTTGTAGCAGCCTTCCAGTATCTGAAGGGGGGCTACAAGGATGCTGAAGAGGGACTCTTCATCAGTGACTGTAGTGACAGGACAAGGGGCAATGGGTTCAAACTTAAATGGGGGACGTTTAGATTGGATATAAGGAGGAAGTTCTTTACTGTGAGGGTGGCAAGGCACTGGAATGTGTTGCCCAAGGAAGCTGTGAATGCTCCATCCCTGGTGGTGCTCAAGGCCAGGTTGGACAGAGCCTTGGGTGACATGTTTTATTGTGACATGTCCCTGCCCATGGCAGGGAGGTTGGAACTAGATGATCTTGAGGTCCTTTCCAACCCTAACTATTCTATGATTCTATGATTCTAAGTTACAACTGATCAGATATCAAATGAATTGAGACAGGATCCCTGCAGCACTCAGATACTGTAGTGACAAAAATGCCAGCTATGAGGATGCAATATGCTTCTGAATATTCAGAACTCCTGTGGAACTGCAAATGCATCATTTTAGTGTCTCTCCACAAGAAAGCTTTTGAAGAACAATGAACACCTTTGCAGCTAATGCATTTCTCCATTGCTGACATGTCTTCATCATATTGAGTTTTTATTATCAGCCAGCTTTGTGGAAGACATTGCAGAGATGAGTTAAGGAAGATCCTTGCTCCAGTGTGTGCAATAGAACTGACATCTGCACCCAACACACTCTTTATACTGGTGTCTGTGATAGGCCTGACTGACCTAAGGAGAGGCTGCTTAAAAATATCAAGGTCTGTAACAGATGTGGAAGAATACATTCTTAGGTCTTTGTGCTAGGTGAAATCTTTCCTAATATGGCAGTATAATACAGAAACAGATGCTCCAAGCTGTGGTAACTATCTCCTAATTCCAAAGGTCAAGGCTAACATAACTACAAACTCAGCTGTCATTAACCTATCTAGCTAAGAAAGAACCTAATTAAGATAAATGACACCCAATAATGTTTACCCTGATAGTTGCCTTCAATGTGAGTACTTACAGCTGTTAGCAGCCCCAAATTTAACAGGGGCATTAACCCACAGGCATTTTCTAAAACATCAACTGCTGAAACCTGATGTTTGCTGTGTGCAGGGAAAGGAGGCACACAGGTTTCTGCATGCTGTGACTTGTTATGGTCTCTGCATCAGCCTTCAAACGGTAAGGACTAAGAGGCTGGAAGAACACACTGGTTCATTGTGCAACTCCCTAGAAGTGAGATGGGGTGAAACCAGGACTCCCCCTCCCCTTTCCCCTTTTGTTTCCTTACCAGTTCCTGATGATTTTCTATCACCAAGAGGGAAGCATTGTGCAAAGAGCAAAAGCTCTGACTGGAGTTCCAGCTGGCTTCACTCTCAGAGATGTAGTAACATTTTCTCTGGAAATACAGCCAATCTGATGGACAGAGTTCCAGGGAAGGACAGATGGGAAAATCTGAAGAACGGTTTACTGCAAAAAGACATAAACCAGTCTACCTATTTCTTACAACTGGAAAAGGTTTCTGACGCAGTGGTTTCTGACTGCATCATCTCAAATCATCCAAGCCTAATTGTAGCATTATTACTTCTGCCCAGCAGAAACAATTACTGCAAACTAATTATATGCCCTGCCTCCTGCACCCCTATGGTTGCTGACATACTTTTAAAGTGATGATCAGAGGTGGGCTGGTAGAAGTATCCAAGAAAGTGACAGAAACGTACCCTCTAAGGACTCTTCTACAACTTACGTATTTCTGACAACTATAGTTTCTGTAAGGGTTGCACCTGCCCACAATTTTAAACAGTCTATCACAAGACATCTATTTAAGTTTGAGATGAGGCAAGTTCTGAATAAACCTTTTGAGGCTCTGGAAACCTAAAACTCTGGTAATTTCTAAGGCTAATTATATTTTCTTTTAACTGATTTACACACTTACCAAACTGAATACACAAAATCAAAATGACAGCAACAGCAAGGACTCCAGCAACACCTTGCCATAACCAGATATTTGAGAACAGACCTGAAAAGAGAAATGTCAGGAATTACAACCAAAACTAAAACTGAAACCAAACCACAACCAGCTGACAGAGGAGCAGAGCCCAGGATACATGACGTTATTCCCCAGAAAGTCACTCTTTGTGGAGAGCCAGCCGGGAGCAGGGCTGGAGACTAGGAACTGTGTGGCATTTAGAGTGTCATGAAGCTAGTTAGCTAACATGAACTCTGAATTACTCTTTATTTTCATTACCTCATCCAGCCCTTAACCTAATAGCGAGGTAGTTTCTGACACTCAAAAAGCACTGAAAAAGAAAGAAGCAAGCATGGAACATAAATATGAACAGTGTCTGAGGTTGACCTGATGCCTAAATATGGCATAAAGAGAAATAAGTTGTCTGCTGCAGAGCCATGAACTTCTCCTGAGGAACATCCAGCCTTATCCCACAGTGATAGCTTTTCAGAGTCTTCTTCTCTTCCCAGCTCCCTTCCAGGAGCCAGCGGTCTGGGTTTGGAGACGGGAAGAACTCACCAACTTGCCACTGCCGTGTCCTGCATCCAACTTGGTAAGCGATAGCAGGGGATGAGGCGCCCCAGCGAGGCCGCACAGGGAGGGATGGTCCCTCCTACTGGTGCTCACTCCACTGGCAGCACAGGGCAGCCTCCCCTCCCTGTGAAGCGCCGTAGCACGCAGAGGGGGTTACCCAGCCTCTCGCACAGGGTGAGCCCCACGGAATGCTGGCACGGGGCTGATTCCCGGCACCTCCGGGCATTTCTGGGGTGGGTCTCGCAGCGCGGAGCCCGGCTCCTTCTAGGGTTCCGCCCGCCCAGGGCTGCCCGGGATGACGGCGGGACCTCCACCGGATAAGCCCCTCGGAGCCGGGCGGGCACCGGCCGGGGGGACGTTTCCAGAGGCCCGGAGGCTCCCGGGAGGCCGCAGGGCAGCAGCCGGGCGGAGCGAGCCGTGCTCCGCGGCTGCACGGCCACTTAAGTCCCCCGTCGGCGCGCCCCTCTCGGCCCCTCTCTCCGGTGGCGGCTGCTGGCTGCTCGCCCTGCTGCTGCCATGGGAGCCCCACGGCGTCCACCCCGGCCCCTCTCCCTTTTGCCCCTTCACCTTTGCGCCATCCCGTCCCCCGCGCCCGGGAGGCTCTCTCCTCCCGTCCCATGGATGCGGAGCCGGGGGCCCACCGGTGGGGGAAATCACGCGGCCGGAACTGGCGGAGCGCCCGGGGTTGGGAGACGCTGGGGTCAGCGGCCAGGATCCACTTCCTCGGCTCCGGTTCCGTATCAGTCAGGAGGGTTAGTGCCCAGCACGGGCAGCTTGCTGCTGTGTTATGCACAGCAACTGGTTTACTTACAACAGAACTTGGCTGTGCTGCGTGTTCGCAGAGCCAGAGGAACACGGCTCTCTTCCAGTTTCAAGTTTGTGGGAGACCGATGAGGATTCAGTGATGTTTTATCCAAAACTGGCGTTCATCTGTACCTCAGGAGAGAACCTTAAATAGAAAGCCATTAGAATGGAGGGTTACACTTTATGCTTTCACTGCAGTCTCCAATTACTTTGTCAAGGATTTTTAGCAAGAGTCAGTTGCTGAAAATGATCTCCAAGTGTTTATATTTACAGGTAATAGAGAACCACATAAACTTTATGCTTCCATAAATATGAACAGATTTGCAGTTTATTTTAGTCTTTGTCTGCAGCAGACGCTCGTTTAAGCAATGAATTGGAAGAGATGGACAGGCCGGCCTGCCTGGGATGACACTTGAGAAGAAACAGGCAGAAGGGGTTAAAAAGAATCCCAAAGATACGTGTGAACAAGGCTTAAAGCACAGTGACTTCAGGGAAGTTAGGGAACTGAAGATTCCTGGGAGAAGGGGGAATGGGAGAGGGAAGAGCTGATGGGTCCAGAGAGCACAAGCTGTAGACACTTCAAAAGGGCTATTGAGACCCCAGTCCAGAGGGACAGAGAATGAGAGTGGGGTGTGGAATTAGGGCAGCGTGAGGTTCAAGACCTGTTTCATACAGAGCAGGTTTTGCATACAAAGAGATAGTGGAATGCAAATGTATGCACAGCTGTTATTCCAAGAACAGGTTATTCAGCACTCATTCACTCTGAAGAAGTGGTTTGCTCTCTTGCTGCTCAATCCTGCTTGCCACCCAGGTAAAAAATAACTTACTCTGGCTTATAACCACAGAGCATTCACAGGTGCTGTGTGCAACCTTACTCACCCACAAATACAGAAAATGCTTTTGACAGTTGTAGGCATTCTCCAGGCTGACCAAAAACAACAAAAAAGAGAACCTGTAACATACTCAATTGTGAATCATCTGTTGTTCTAAAACTACTATAGTTGTTAACCCCAGGTATGTGTAGCTGAGACACTCAACGTTTACTTTCCCCAATCAGTTTGGCTAAGACACCTCCAGGCTGAAGAAGAGTAAGGAGCAGGCTCCCACCACCTTGGCTGGGGGGGGAAAGTGTGTTGTGGGGGGGTGCTGCTGCTGAACTGCAATAGACTAGTTGAGTGTTTGCATGGAGTGTTCAGGCTGGTGTTGGAGGAGGAGAGTTCATCCTTATACCCGAGCAGAATGCAATGTACAGACTGAGTGCAAGAGGGACGCTTGTCTGGCCCACGCTGGGCTGCTGGCTCTCCTTTCTTGCGCCATACCAGCTTGAGGCGTATGGGCCTCTGCAAAGGTAAGTCTGCAAATTCCTCTGCACAGCCATCTCGCACAGACCTCACAGAGGCTGTTGGGGTGCTGAGGATAGCTTATTGGGAAAGGAATATATTTATTCTTGCAGGAAAAAAATGTCTTCCACAAGGCAGTGCAAGGGCTATGTATTTACTTTTTTACATGCAGGTTTGGTTTTGTGGCATGTTCCCATGTTTTATAAAATGATTGAAGAAGAAGATAGGGATTTCTTAAAGGCATAAGACAAAAATAGCCTGCAAACTGAATTAGTGGAAAATTGCTTTAAAATATTGCCACGTTGTAGGGGGAAATACAAACATGCTAAGTAAAAAGCATGGTATTTTACAAAATCCATTGTTTTCCATGGAAAAAAGCAACAGCTTATGCAATACTAGAGGGTCTGACTCAGAAAGTTACAGTTGGATTCTGCAGTGCCACCTCCTGCTCACTGCTACCACAATCTTTGATTGCCTCTTACTACCCACTAACGTTCTACCCCTACCTTTTCTCAAGAACTGAATGCAAGCTATGAACATAGTGAGACTGTGCAAGGAGAAATCACTGCATGTCAGAAATGTAGAGGCAGAGTATCCTCGTAGGAAACATCTGTGCTCTGGTCATAGCCGTGTACTGCAGAAACACCTGAGTTCAACTGCCACTGAACAGCTCCCATGGTAGTGGCAGTTTCCCTGTGATTGCATGGAGTGTGGTGGACTAATCTAATTTACACTGCTTTTGGCTGGTTTCATCTCTGTCTCCCCCTGCCCGTCCCAGTCAGTGGAAGGACTATTAGTGAATTCCAGGTCTTTAGTCAGACCTTGAGGCATTTGTATCCCAGATGAGACATTGACTTCTGATATCTGAGGGTGCTTTGGAAACTCTTGTAAAGTCTATGTGTATCAGACAAGTGTTAGTTTCTTAAGGTCCCACTGAATTGGGCCAATCCATTTATTAGAAAAGGAGCTGAATTAATGTGTTTCTTCTTGCATTGTTTTTAAAGCTTGTAAGTCTCGGTTGATCTATTGACCAGTACCTTTCATGCAGCTAAAAGCAAAGCTGATTTGTTATGTTTGTTGTTACTGTACTTCATCAAAGACTCCTGATCTCAATATTCCTCTGTACCATAGAAATGCTACCAGTAAATAAAGAGGAAGATGCTGAAAGACTTGGGTTTGCTTACTGTTCCTGAACTTTATTTCTCATTAGCCTTGTGTTCAGTTAAACAAAAATACATTTCTTTCTTAATAGTTACAACATTTTTACTGTTCTAGTGCCTATAACTTTTTGAGGCGATATAGTTTCAGAATGGTATTGGGAGGTTCCTGCAGTTCCCAAAGTGAAATCATCAGCCTGCAAAGTCAACTGCATTTGCTTATCTTTAAGTTGCAAACATTTCTGCTGTATAACATGAAACTAATCAGATTAAGTAAAAATAATATGGGAAATATCCATGTTTTAGACAATAAAATGAAAGAAAAAGGTGAAGGATGAATGTAGCAGAAATAACGTTAAGTAGCTTATGGGACATCATATGTGCTTAGTAGTTTTGAACATAAAAAGTCTCCTTTAGAAAGTGTTTAACAGAGGTATTAGCAGATTGTATTTACTGCAGAAGTTAAGTTAGTATTTGTGAAGTATTAAGCATTTTATGAAGTGCCAGGTTGAGAATACTGCATCAGACAGCTACACCAGAAAGGCTCAGTCATTCATCTGCGCAAGTCTTGAATAGCATTATTTTGGAATAGGAGGCACAAGGGAAAGGAATCCAGCTGTGTTATCAGCCATGTTTGTATTTTTGGTGATGCTGTTATTCGCTGGGATTGTTATTTACTGGTTTATAGCACTTGTAGTAGAAGACATAGCCTCCATCTTCAAGGACTCAAAATCTTAATATTGAAAATTACCTGGGGAAGGATAGAAATAAATCGGGAGGGTTGGAGTATGGAAGAAAAAGCATCACAACATTATAATGATATGAAAACGATTAACACTAGTAAGCTGAATAACCCAGATAAGAATATAAAAATAAGCATGACAGGAAATTGCAGTTGAAAACTCAGATGATATAAAGAAGCTTATTTGGCTTAATCTACAGAACCTTCTGGTCTGGCCATCAGTACCGATTAGTAGCTGTACTTTCTGTAAATGTTATCTTCCAGGAACGTGCAGAATTTGTTGTAAATACTAAGTGATTCACCATAGAGCAAACATCACGTTTAACCCTATGAAAGTCCCTCACCATTTGAAGCCTTTGCAGAAACCGAAAAAAAGGTCTAAAAAAGTCCAGTTGTAGATTTTGCCAGTTGAGTTTGGTGTCATCATGTCTCCTGTATGGGTAGCAGACACCAGAGTGTCTGCAGACTGTGCATCTACCCCAGGAAGCTCTTAGAGGCCAGAACTGAAATGAGATCATGCCACTACATCGTCACCCAGAGACCTCCATTGCTTCTACTGATAGGTCCATTGTCGACCAAAGAGGAGAAGAAAGAAGCTCGTGCAGTGTTCACCTGTGACTTTTGAATTGGTGAGTCTTCCTCTTGTCAGAGCTACTTGACTCCTGTTCAGCATCCTGTGCAGTTGTCTCCTGGCCGAGCACCTTCCATCAAAGGCATGAATAACATTTGGACTGCTCAGAAAGATTTCTTCTCCTAATCTGTATCACTTTAACAGCTTTTATTCCCTGCTAGTTTTACCATACAATTTTACCATTGCCTGCCATAGTGGTGAAGGTAATGTAGCAAGAAGTACTGTCCTCCCTGGTGGACCAAAGCAAGGGAAGGATGTTGTATGAGAAATGCAGTGAAAGGCCTGCATGGGGTGATGGTTCTGCAGAAGACATCAGACTGCCTCATGGTGTGAGGAGTACACGCTAAAGAGGAAACCAAAATATCACTGATTTCTATGAGTACTGTAATATTGTCAGCACTATCCTTCATGTATTCTATAAGCCTGCTTGCTCTTTTGACAGCAGATCTACATTGGCAGTGCATCATCGCTGAACTGTCCATTTGGCAGCATAGTCCTTTTCTTCTTTTGTTACATTTATCATTTAGAACCATGTATTTTTTTTTTTCACTTTAACCTCAAAGAAATTCAAGACCAAAGTGTCTGCAGCCCAGATGTTTATGGTCTAAATATCAAAGGAAAAAAAGTCCTTTCTTTATCTATTCAAGTAGCTACACTTATGCACAGCTCTGAGGAGCCACTCACAAAGAAAAGCTAGGGGGAAAAAGTGTAAAATACAGAGTGGTCAGAAGTCAGACATACAGCAGAGGGGTCAGGGTTGCTAAAGGCTATTATAGGGAAAAATGTCCACTAGAGAACTTTATTCACCCTCCATTCTAGGCTTATTTGCAGCAGCATTCAGAAAAGAAGGCTAGGTGATTGAGCCTAGGTTGCTTGAGCACAGCATGTTCTTTACTACATCCCCTTTAACTGATCTTCACAGTAGTTCGTACAAAACAGATAGGACAAGTCTAGTCTTGACAATAGTCCATAAGGAATTGCCTAGCTGTATATGAGTATGGGGTAAGAAAACCAAACCAAACCAAACTGAACCAAAACAGAAGGGTACTAGTGAGAGAGACAGCAGTGGGCAGAGCTGAGCAGCAGTGGAATCATCAGAGACCATGATGGATTCTGGAAACTCATCCTTTCTGGTCAGCAGTGTCTTTAGATGGATGCCATCGATGATGTGCCCCTTACATTCTGGCATGGAGAGTTCCAGTGAGAGCAGCTAGGGAACAGCAGTGGTCTGTCAGAAGGATGAATCCCTAACTTGTCTTTTTCCAGGACAACATTTTTAGTCCACACAGAACATTTTACAGGACTGATTTCTGGCTACCTCAAGATGTTCCTTCTCTCGTCTGCATCTCAGTGACCTTCCAAACTGCAGTGGGTCATTGGTTATTTTCAGATGGCAATTGTTGGGTATATACAATTACAGAAAAAGGGAAGAGATGTTCTGCAAGGGCCTGACTTACTGTGGCAGGAAAAGAAGCTTGGGACAGTTGCACTGACATACTGCTACCATTGGGCACCACGGGTTGTGCAACTTCCCAGACCAAAATTGCTGGGTCCCAGCACCACAAATGGTTGAATGTGACTGGAATGTGCAATAGTGGCTGCTGAGAGATTTGCTGAAATGCTGGCATCACTCTGCAGCATGCAGAAGTGCTATGTGGAGAAGAGCTTTTTTGTAGATTGCTTGTAAGATATTTGAAACATCCTAGATCAGTGGGCACAAGCCGTTTGAACAGATGTATGGTGTTTCCTTGACTGATTATTATGCACACAGAGCTGATGCAAGACTCCTTTCTTATCTACTCTACTGACATACCTACATGTTGGGTTTTTTTCCCAGTAGTTATTGTTTAGCTCGAGTAATACTGGATACTGTGTATACAAATATAAAATAGAGGGCTCAAAGCACCCTCTGCAGTCCTGCCTAGGTGCAAATAAATATGATGCAGTTGGGTTTATAAAACATATCCAATGCATGGAGTAAAATTTCTTCCATGACTGTGTCTCTGGTTTACTGCAAAGAAGAGGAGCTGAACACTGCCCTAGTGCTAAATGCTGGTGTTTGTATATATATACATATATATACACATTCTTCTTGTCTCTGAAATTCTGCAATACTGAGTCACTATACCACTCATATAAGGAGTTCTGGGAATGTATCAAGAAATCAATTAATTAATAAACACTGATATCCATCCTTTTTATAGTAATTATTTTAGAGGACACCTCATTTAAAAGTCACAGCATTGACTCCTGATGGACAAGAACACTGCTTGACCTCGGTCCTCCTCCTCAAATGCACTTCTCACAAGGCAAGTGTTGTAAACATCTAGCTGGGAATAGAAGTTCTGTTGCCAAATAAATGACACCAGAAGAGGGGGCAATGAAATCACAGAGGGAAGCATTTGTTGCAGAGTTGTTAATTTTGGATGGGAAGATTTTCATTCTATCTTGCATAATTCAGTTTCACAGCTGAAACTGAATTATGCAATTTATGCAGAGGGGCTTCCTTTTTTTTGTTAGATAAGACCGTGTGGGGGCAGAGGTATGTGGAAGGAAACTGCCTACTTATTTCTGTGGCAGCATGAAAACCAAGAAATGGTTGGAAATTATATCCTGGGCTAGAAGGTGCCTTTTAAGCAAAGAGAGTTACTGTGATGGATGAGTCCATTTGCGTGGGACTGTCCCTTCCCAGGAGCTACGAGGCGGTGATTCACACAGTGCTGTGAGTAGCCTAGAGGTACCTCTTTTATAACCCCTGACACGGGGTGGGGTCCCACACAGAAACCCACGCTGCAGGGAAGCAGTGGCTGTGGGTGCACAGGCACCATGCACAAATCAGGGCAAGGATGTGTGCTAGTATCAGCGCCTGGAGTTCATAAAATGAATGTGGGGTGGGGCACAGCTGAGTGGCCTGCCAACACCCTAGCAGCATGTGGTTGGGACAGTCCCAGGGGGAATATGATGAGCACTGTGGCAGCTGCCTAGGGCAGAGCAATAGCTCTTCCCAAGCCCCCTGTGACACTGTGGGCAGTCACTATCTTCTCTTGGATAGAAAGAGTAAATGCTCTGAAACCATCTGAGTGGTTTTATAGATATTAACACTCTTCTAGGTATTGGTGGCCAGGCTTTGTTCAGTTCCAAAGACACACACTTTCCAGGGACCTTCAAACTCATAAATGATAAGAACAGGACAGGCAATGAGGAACTGGAAAGGTTCAGGTGCTTGCTATGAAATTCTGTTGTAGTTTACTTCTTTCGTAACAGCAGGCTACTGAGGCAGCCCGTTTGCAATAACAAGCATGTTCTGAACTGGAATTGCTGCCATGAACCTGCCAAGACAAGTGTTATGTACTTGCCATGGTGGAGATGACTTTCAGGTTGCTGGCAGCATACCCTGTAACCCATGCCTCTGTCCAGAACAGTATCCTGGGCCTTGAAAAGCAAGTTGTTTAGCAACATGGTACCTCAGTACTGAGTCAGGCAACAGGACCTATTTTCAAAACAATTCCATAGTCAACCAGGGCCAAGGAACATGGCATTCGTTGCATGTATCACATCCCCTGTCACCTACTTGCTCTGGAAAGATTGAGCAATACAATGAACTTGCTAAAGACTAACCTGAGAGTGGTAAGTGCTGAGACATGGAAACACTGGGATGTAAACTTAGCAGAAGCCACTTTGCTGGTTAACACCAGTGGTTCTGCTGACTGACCTGTTCCTTCCCAGGCAAACGCTCCACACACTGTAGGAGGAAGTAAGGTTACCGTAGTAGATGTAAGGGAACTGCCTGGGAAAGACAGCAAGGATTGCTCCTCCCTTGGGAACAGTTAAATCCATTTGTGGGATTGCTTTCACTCAAGGATGTGGGTGCGCTTAGAGGGTGATGTGGGAGGATGGGGAAAACAGGCATGCACCTTAAGGGGAATTAACTTAGGGGGAAAATAATTCAGGATTTGAGTTGTATGTTATATCAAGTACTATAGCAGGAACCACCTGAACCAGTGGAGGGTAAGTGCCTCACAAGAACTGGGGCAAGTACAGCAATAACCCTGCCAAGACTGGTGTTAGCACCCAGCAGTCCATGATGATGTGCCACCCCTCTTGTCCTGAGTGACCACTGTAACATATGGAGTCACAGACTAAATTATCTGAACAAACTTTAATAGATATTTGGATGTATATCAGAATTAACATTTGATGGTCCCCTGTAGACTTAAGGGAATGACATCAATGTATATGTCAAAGGATAGCGTGGGTGTTGATGAGGGGTTATGAGCATGATGCAAATGATAGAGAGTAAGGGGCGGAGATTGTACAGGGCATGGCTGGGATGGAGTTAACTTTCTTCATAGCAGCCTGTATGATGCAGAGGTTTGGATTTGTGGCTAAACCAGTGTTGCTAACACTCTAATATTTGTCTGTTGCTGAACGCTGCTTGTACGGCATCAAGGCTTTCCCTTTTTCTTACTCTATGCCCTGTCTCCATCTACCACAAGTGGGCAAGAAGGTGGGAGGACACATAGCCAGCAGAGCTGACCCAAATTAATCAAAGGGTTTTTTCTTCTATATAGCATCTTACTCAGCAATAAAAGAAGGAGATGAGGGAGGATTGTTGGCTTCCAAGGTGGCTGTTGCTCAGAGACTGACAGGGCATAAGTTTGCTTGTGGGAGGTGGTGAGTGGATGCTCTTGCATCACTTCCTTTTTTTTCTGTTGTCTTCACAGATAAAATTGGCTTCATCTCAAGCCATGAGTTTTCTCAATTTTGCTTCTCTTGTTGTTTCCCCTTTCTGGCTGCTCTGGAATTTCACTGGGATATCTTGCAGGAGCTGTCTGCTATTGAAGCTGGTATTTTTTTCAGTGACGTCTCACTTCAGTATTTTCAGAGGGTAGTACTGGAATACGCTGCTACATGAGCAAGTTCAGTGGATAAAAGACTGACACCGTATTTGCCAACTCCTTTAAAAAATGTTTTTTAGATACTTCAGATTCCCACTGATTGTCCTTTCCATATGCATTTATTGATGCTGATTTCTTTTTTATTAACGTAACTTATGGAAAAGTATCCTTTGTCACCCAGCCATGATACTTATCTCTCAGTTGCACAATTTGAACTTTGCAGTGCAACAGAAGGAAAGGAGAATACAGATTTCAAGATATGTTATAGGCATTTGTGGTGTAAATAAAAAGAATTAAACCTAATGCACTAAGATACAATGAAAGATACAGTACGAATCAAATGATCTAGTAGAAAAGTGGTACACCGGTCTTACATGATAGTATTTTTATGGTCAAAAGCAAATCGTAAATTTCAAGCAGGAATCCTGAACTATTATGCATCAGCTGAAGTAATAAAATGCTGTAAGAGATATCTCTCTCAAGATGAAATTCAGTGAGAATCCTGAGTGTGATGTCTGTATGATAAAGCTATCTGGCTTATAAAAAAATCTCTGCTCTGCCACTGAAAATAGGTGACTGGTGGTGGATTCCTCTGAGGGCAGTTTTAGAGCAAATTTTTAAAATAGCCTTGAATACAGCTTCAGTTGCTGCTCTTGACGCTTTATCTACACTTTCTCATTTCTGATGCTCTCCATCAACAAGATCTCCACTTACATCCTCATACAAAGGGGTTTTGTATGTGTTTTTTATTTTGGGATAAATTTCTTAAAAGCTTTATCTAAAATACACTGAGACAAGAAGAAACTGTTAGAGAAACAGTCGTGAACTGCGCTTCTCGTATCACTGAGCTTAATTATACAGATCTTCATTGTCTGGGATAGATAACAATAGAAATATGGAAACTCTACATTTCATTGCAAAAATCAGTGGAGTTTCATCTACCAAAGTCAGATCCATTTCCAAGGAACTTGGTGAACTGTTAAATAGTGATGCTGTTCATATTCTTACTAACCTGTAGGAGTATGCTTGTCTATAGGTCACCTGTCCCTGTGTCTAGTTTTCAGGTCTGGCATTGTCTCCAATCCCAGACTCCTGTCCAATATGGAAATTAAGTATACTTTTGCAATCTAACAGGGTGGATCAGCAAAAGACAGATCTTTCGGTGTATCTGGAATTACAGCACAGCTGAAATTGTTGCTTTCAGACTTTCAAATTGAAAAAGGAGAAGAAAAAGAAGAAAAAATCTTCATCCTTATTGTCTGGTGTCTGTCTGTTTTTGAGAATGTCATTGAAATTTAATGATAATTGCTCTACTAGTTATGGATGTTAAATCCTCCTGAGACCTTTAGCTTTGCCATAATTTTAATACAGATACCTGCTTTTCAAGGCCCACAGTCTTCTCTGGAATACACAAAACCATGGTAAATTATTTCTGAGTAGCCAGTTTCTATGAGATGCTTCTCATTTCCTCTGGTTATTTGCCATGGACAAGATTATTTCCAACTGACAAGCTTATTCTAATGAGGTTTTTTCCCTTACTCCCCCTCAATGATATTCTGTTCATCTAAGAAAGCTGTGAGAAAGTAGCATGTCAAGGTGTTTTCCATTCATATGCCGGAAGAATGGCAATATTAGCCATCTATTAATTTACCTATCAACATGGCCATTGGTGAATGGGGACAACGAGGAGTATTGCTTGTCTGAGAGACATCAAAATGTGCTTTCAAATCAGAATGAGAGAATTTTTCCTGTATGATTCCATTTTCACTACCCTTGGCTGCAATGTTCTGATTATAAATTCTTTGATTAAGCAAAAAACCTTTTTTTCCCCCCAGTTAGAAAGCATGACGTCACTGCCACTTCATCAAGGAATTTGCAGATCTTTCTCCATCCTGCAAATGGAGAGAGCCATGAATGGTGCCATTGGAAGCAGAAATGATTCTGCCTCCATGGAGACAGTAAGAGTGATAATCCTCGGAGTCACAAAAGCCTCAGGGTCCCAGGAGCTGCTGAGGCACAGTGGGAGAGCTTTGGTAATATTCACCATTTGCTGGTCACATCTCTGCTCTACCGATACCACCCGTTTCCACTGTTGGCTCTACCTTCTCTGTGCAGGAAGAACCTTCATGCATAATTTTCTCCTTAGATCATTATCCAAGAAAAACAGGATAATCCAAATGTATTGTCATTCTCTGTAGGTCACTCTCATACTTCTCACCAGCTTCTTCACAGATAATTGTTTTTTGATTTGACTATTTTCTGTCCAATTGAGCTATTATTGTGATTGTGTTTTTCAGGCTTTGGTGGTTTCTAATGCTCTTCATCCTGTGCCCTTCTCCAGCAAGGCTCACTTTAAATCTGATAAACTTTCCCTCACCTACATAGGACTGGTGGTGATTTTATGCACAGAGCTGTGGTGAAGGTTCATTTCTGGATGTTCTGGTGAATCGCATTTTAGCCTTGGCATTTTAGGTTTGGTATCCAGTGTATTTTTTAACAAAGACAGTTTTTTACAGAGTAAGGTTTATACACACACACACACTTTTGACTTTGTCCTGTCAATTATATCTATGACACATGACAATGAGTGTGGTTGCACTTTTCTTCAGGATCCAAAATACATATATGTGCTAACCTTCACTTGTGGCTGCAGGGAGGACTAGTGCACATCAAGGCTTTGAAGTGTCTCCTCGTTCATAAGCGGGGCTCTGAATGTATGGGTGCATATGCATGTGTCTGTAAGAGACAGGATCTGTCTGTGATCACACCTATCCTTAAGGCTGGACTCATATCATGTAACAGTGGCTGCCTGAAACTTGGGCATCTGGTATAAGGAAGTCACCCAGGCTCCTAATGTGTGAAAATGCCCTTCTAGAGGGGAACCCATCCAGTCTTAGACACACATCTTGGGAAAGAATGTGCTATGCTTGGCAGGGTGTCTAGAGGGATCCTTTAAGAGTCCCTTTGACTAGATATTTAGACAGCTAGAGATAAATGACACAAATACCATCTGCCATTCCTACAGAAAGCTGGGGATCACATTGCTGCTTGGATCTCTTCTTTTTTAGCTCTCCTTCTGGCTTTCTGAAATATCTGCAGCTTTTTCGCACATATTTTGTGTTGATAAGGATCCACTGCAAGGTGCAGTTTCTACTTTGCCATGTCCAATGACAGTGCAGAAATAGTCAGTAAAGTCTCCTCCTATACAAAACCTGAACAGGGAGAGAAAGCCAGATTTAGTTGCATTCCTGACCTAGCTGAACTCAGTGCAGTCATATCACTTCCATGAAAGGCAGAGTGGCACCTGGCCTTGCTGCTAAGCTGTATTATTGTCAGTGGGATTAGAGGCTGCCTTGCTGGACTCTCACTCCCATTCCTTAATATTCTTCCCCATACCTCAACAAAAGTATATGGGCTATGCTTTCCGATCTGGAGACCTTCCCCTTCTTTGGCAGCCTCCATTCAGTGGTGCTGACATTACACTTCCTTGCCCCATCCTTTCTTCACTGAATTCAATCTAATCAGATTCCTCCTTACTCACCAGAACTACAGCTGTGTTCTCTCTTGCCATCCTGATGTGACATGCCTGTGTTCCCGCATGACTTACAGGCTCCCTTTGACTTGTCACAGGGATGTGCTGAAGCACCTGAATCAAAAGGACTCAGGTTGCTGCAGATTACGGTCCCTGACCTCGCTTGTACTCCCTGTTGTTTGGTCTGGGTTTTGTTTGGAGGTTTTTTGTATTGGTTTGGTTTGTTTGTGTGTTTTTATGTTTTACTTTTTGCAGACATTGCATCACAGTGACTTGCTGAAAAAGGCTTACATGTCTGAGCTAAGTTCCATGTTGTTAATCCACTTCCACTTCTTCTCACTGTGAGAGTATGTGAGACCAAGTAAGTAGTAACTACTTCTAGATTGTTTGTAGAGAAAATTCTAGAAAGGAAACAAAGAATAATAATACATTAGAATTATGTTGTTTTCACCAGAGGTACAGAGAAAGCTTAGTGCTAAATAACCAGCGTTACAAGTACACCATGCATCCAGCCACACATCTCTTTGCACGGCTTTAGGTGCTAAATTTTTCCAATTTATTCTCATTTCTCTTCCTGGGGATTCTTAGGAATAGAATAAAAAGAATAATACACCTGTGATACCATTTAAACTATATGCTATAGTTAGCCATGTATGACCTGATACCTGGAGATAACTTTTCTATTCTGATTGTGGTAGGAAAGCCTTTTCAGTTTTCGTCAAAAAAAGACTCTCACAAATAAGTGTCTGCTTGTATGTCTTGGTTTGTTTGCTAAATCTCTTTAAAACATAAGTCATCTAGGCAGAGAGTTTAGTCCTTCCCATGGGAGCATGCTTGCAGAGGGAAGCTCCCAGGTGCAAGACTTGAACCACCAAGATGCATCTTACTGTGAAGGTGTTTGCTGCCATATAGGGGTGCTTGGTGTATGCAGCTAGCAGTGGATTATAGATGTGCAAAGGCATCTAACATGAGAAGGCAGACATCTAACATGAGAAGACGCAAGTGTAACCCATTATCCCTTTGGCATACAGGTCAAACCCCATGAATTTTGATCTTACCAGTTCGTCCTTGTTGTCAATGATAACCAGGTCAGCCTTCATGTCAGTACATTCTTTACGGGAGTCATTCCAATTGGCTTTATTCTGCCTTTGAGAAAAGAAGTAGCATTTTCCCCCATTTTTTTCCCAGTGTTTGGGGCAGCCTGCCGGAGGGAAGAATAGCTGTGAAAAACTCTATGTTCAAACTAACAAAAGGATCCCAACAGAAAAGAAAGGCAAGAGAGTGAGTTGCAGCCAGAGAAGTACCTTTGTGTTTCTGCTTTTGATTTTCACCATACCACCTGGGATCCTTGCCATTCTCTGTAGTTAATTCCAGCCCTAGGCATAAGTCAAAGAAGTAGAATCACAGATAACGTTATCCAGCCTTTAAAGTATTTGCTGAGGAGGTAAAGAGAAATGGCCAGGTCAGAAAGCAGCTTTAAGTTTTCAAAAGTCCTATTTGCCTGCTGCAAAATATGGCAATAGTGATATTACTAAAAGAAAGAACATTTCTCTCCATTGCCAGGCAGGGTACCAGGAGGAACAGAGAATGAGGCCTGGAAAGGGTGATATCATTCAGGGAGACAGGGACTGCTTGATATAGTTTTGTTGGTTATCCAGCAGCTCCTAAACAGCAAAAGGGAATTGCACTTAGTTAAAATGCTAAAAATGGAGAGGTGCTTGAGAAGCAGTACGTGCATCATGTTCATGAAAATGGTGGGATATCAAAGGGATTGTTATATTTTTGTCTGTTCACCTAGCCATCAGCTCCTCTGTGCTAGCATGAGAGAGTAATTAGTTCTTACCTCTGAAAAAGTAATGCAGTGCTGACCAAGCACTACTTTTAAAGAATATGAAGATATGAAAAGTCTCTGGCCTTGAGAGTTTATCCTATGAGTGTACATGATAAGGTGGTTTGTTCCTGAGATGTCAAATTCTTTGTTTGTTCTTCTGAACAAAATCTGGACACATACTTTCCCCCAGTGCCTCCACCCCCTTAAAAGACAATTGAACAGACTTCTGGAAACTGTCTTTTGAATGGCAGAGTATTACCTACCTAGTGCATGTGCATCTTCACAGGTGATGGAGAAGGTTTTTGAGTCAGCTGGTCTGCTTGCGGTTGGATGATCTGGAAATAAGAATGAGATTTCTGCTTTGAATGTCTGACCATCTTGCCATACACTCTCAGGGCTCTTCTGGACCTCTTTGACTACCACCATCACCTCATACAGAATGCCTTCTCCTCATGTTTTTCCTCCTCCAATGGAGGATTTCAAGGACCACCAGAGACTCCAAACTGAGCAGTGATATATATGAATCTCAATTTTAGTACAAAGGAATAATCAGCTTCTTCCGTAAGCCTAGAGCCAGACAGTGGGTGGCAAGAGGAAGGAAGGAAGTATGAAATAACAGCATTATCTGGGGAAATGACTACACTTGTTTTCCCAGAAAACAGAGCCACTGGAGCAGATTCCTTTGTTCTGTAATTTTGCTCAGGTTTCCTAGCATCTGATCAGATCTAGGTTTTTCTATTGTCCTCTCTTTCTTTATATTATTAACTCTAATAAATTGCATTTTAAATAATACCCTACAGAGCCTGTGTGCTTTTCTTTTTTCTTTCTAAGTGGGATAGTAACAAGCTGGCATCTCCTGGTGCAAAACAGTTGTTGAATACTCTTTCACAAATTGCTGGCGTATGAATTGTGAGAGCTACTATGGTCTTCAAGAACACATTGCCTAGGAAAACCTACATTTCTTAATCTACATTTCTTTCCCAATAGCAAGCAAGAACCAGGCTTTCAAAGTTGTGAGAGAAAAAGCTTCACTGTAGCACCTAAAACCAAATGCTGACAATGTATAATACCGGTTTTACATTTACAATTCAAAGATCAAAGTTGATCAGTAAAAGTCTAATTTTGCAGAGACTAACTTGCATGATTTGCCCTGTTCCTTTTAGGGATTAACTTCAAATATATTGCTGTAGGAGTAGTTGAGTCTTAGATACCACTATTAAAAAACCCAACGAAACCAAAACTAAACGAAAAAACCCAAGGAAAGATGTATGTCTGAATATTAGAAAACAAAGGTTCTTGAAGTTCTGGTATATAGAATTACATCCAAACCTGTATACAGAGATACCCACAATAAAGTACGCATTATATTTTACGAAGTATTAACACTGATTGTAATAATGAATTTAAAGCTGAGGATTAAAAAGTTGAAGACACAATCACCTGTTTTGGAAGAGGGGGGAATCAGAATTTATTCTTCAGTAAAAGTTCTCAAAAACATTGTATGAACCAATGTCAGGACCATTTCATCTGAGAAGATGAAGAAGCTGGGTTTTGCATATTGCCTGATTCTGTGGGTGGAAGCTTGAAGTACTGCTTATAAAGGTGACCTGAAGACTTTAGTGTATAATAGTACCAAATATTGGTACTAGAACTACCTAACATAACTCAAAATCATTAATTTATGTGAAAAAATCAAAATGAATGCATACTGGTATGCACTGCAAAAAATAACACCATCACACTGATTCTCCTACTGAATGGAAATCAGTTTAAAACACGTAAGTGGTAGATTGAGATTGTTCCTGGAATATTGTCAACTTTAACTCTGAAATCTGCTGTATCAGACAGCACCGTTATTGAAAATGGTTCAAAGGCGCCAAAAACTAACAAAGCAATAATGCGTTATTTTCTAATTGGGGCAACTTAATACTGAACTTTATCATGCTTTGGCCATACACTAATTGTGAACATTTAGGCTTTCTTTGCTCTTTACTGAACTCCTAGAGCAATAATGGAAAATAAACCAGAAGAATAGGTTTGGAAGTGTATGTTTTCCATGCATACATGCATTTATATGCATATATCTTGAGGCTAGATATCAACTCCTGGTTTAAGAAAAGAGCAAAATTTAAGTCATATGAAAGAGTATTTCAAATCAGACCTATCTGTTATTGGAAGACCAGCTCATGAACTGCGGGGCTAATTTTTTACTTACCAGCAGATAACTTTTCTTTCAAGAAAAAATAAAAGAACATGATACTACTATAAAAATCATAAAAATTTCTGCTCATGTTCCACTGAGTAAGACTGTTGTCATTTTCATGAACAGAAATGGAAAATGCCTTCTGGCCTGCAGAGCTCTTGTAAAATGGAGCAATATCAAGAGGTGACAGTTTAGTTCATTTGAACAAGCTGTTCATCAATAACGGTATATTTAGCAAAACTAAACCATATGGAAAACTCATCTAAAAGAAAAACTTGGAAACAAACCACTCAACCTGGCAACAGTTTTTATTTGGAGTACAAGTAAAAACTATATGCTACTGAAATTAAAAACTAATTTGCTTTAGTTTCTCAAGTTTTATCTAGATCTCAAGTTTCTTAGGATTATTTTTTTCAGTTCACTGGGGCTGTACTGAACCCAACAAAGTAACTATAACTGAAGCCATACCTGAATCAGAGTCTAGTGGCTCCTCATTCAACTCCTGATTAAAAGCCTTATTAAATGGTGGTAATTTCACCTTATGATATTGTTAGGATTTTTTTGTTATATTATTTTGCCCTTCCTGTGCTATTTTGCATTTTATAAAGGTCACAGCACTATTAGACATCTCTCCTTTACTTTTTGCCTTGAAAAACAGTTACCTCCCCCAGCCCTATTTTTAAAGTTCCATGGATCAAAGGTTTTGTCATGTCTTCAAGAAGAGTTTCTCTGTATGCATCCAGAGTAGGTGGTAAACTCTGGGACTTGAATGTGATTGACTGTGGAAACCTCTTTAAGCTTGCTTAACTATTAAAGGATGAAAAGAAACAAGCAACCACATCTGAAATTTAAAAACGTTTCCTTAAAAATATTCAAAGGAATGTACCATGTGGCTCTATTAAAATTGTTGGTGTTTTGTTTTTTTTCCTCTCTAATGGAGATAAGAATGCTTGCTTTCTAAAAAAAAACCCCAGTTTTTTATGTAGTTCAAAGATAGTTGTGAACTCACTGATATATATGCAGAGAGGCCTAGCACTAAGCTTTTATTAGAGTAAGGTGCAAATAAATTCTTTTAAGTTGTGACTTAGCTACCTCTTTCAAATGAGTGAGCTTTTATTCATATTTATGTAAAGATTTTTGGTGTTATGGATGTGACGGTGACATGTTACAAAGTCATCACCTTAAAATATTCTCACAAATAGCAATCATAATACTAATAGGCATTATCTAATCTTGACTTGTTTCTTCAAAACATTTGAATAATAAATAATAAATTATTTACTGTTGTCCTGGGTTCAGCAGTAGCAGTCATTTTTCTCCTTCTTAGTAGCTGGTGCAGTGCTGTGTTTTTGACTTTCAGCCTGGGAACAGCACTGATAACACCGATGTTTTTAGTTGTTGCCAAGTAATGTTTACTCTGACCAAGGACCTTCTCAGTCTCATGCTCTGCCAGGGAGGAGGGGAAGCTGGGAGGAAGCAGAGACAGGACACCTGACCCGAACTAGCCAAAGGGGTATTCCATACCACAGCACGTCATGCCCAGGATGTAAACTAGGGGCAGTTACCCAGCAGAGCTAGATCACTGCTTGGTCAGGCTGGGTATCGGTCGGCGGGTGGTGAGCGGGTGTATTCTCTTCCCTTGTTATTTCCCTTATCATTATTATAATTGGTGGTAGCAGCAGTGGTTTTGTGTTATACCTTAGTTACTGGGATGCTCTTATCTCAACCCGTGGGAGTTACATTCTTTTGATTCTCCTCCCCATCCCTCCAGGAGCTGTTGGGGAGAAAGGGGTGGGGGGGGAGTGAGAGAGAGGCTGCATGATTCTGAGTTACTGGCTAGGCTTAAACCATGACAACTGTCTGAACATCATCAAGTTTTTTAATTGTGTTTTGGCTTTTTTCTTTTGGAGTTTTAAACTTCCAAACCACTTGACTCTTTATGGATTTCCTCTTACAGCCATGGTTGGCTAAGAACTACTGCCTTGTACCTTCAGACTGGCCTTCTGTTGCTGCTGGCTTTGGATGGCATTACTCAGATGTCAGCTGGTGGGTGAGGGTCAAAATTAATTGCAGTTATTACATTTTTAGTAGGACTTACACATGAGTATCAGACACACTGCTAAGACCAATAGGAGGATTATCACAGCAACCAATACAGCAACGCATGTTCTGGAGCAACAGCTTTTACCTACAGATAGACAGAAAAAAGACAAAGATTAGGGAAACAACTGGAAAAGGAACCTTTTGTCTTCATTCAAAGATGCCATTTCCAGGCTCACAGTGAGAGAACTCTTAAGTTAGACAAAGCGCTTTGATGCTGTCCCTTCACATGTTTGTTCTTCTTGTGATAGTTAGACTGTGGACACATATTTTTCCATCACAGACATTCAACCTGAACCCTTCTGCCATTGCTTACAATACTTTGATATATTCTGCTGCACTTGATACTGGAGTTAAGTGCTCACCGGGATCCTTATCTGCCCTCTCAAAATACTATGAAAGCAAAGCCCAATCTGACTACCAGAAAAAGGTTCTGCCATGTTATACTCCTGAAAAAAGCAAATTTTTCAGAGAAGTGAACTGTCTCCTCTTTTTGTTTTTACTGTTTATGGACTTTTGTTTAGGATTTAGTTCAAGAGGGTCCTTGCAATACTCATTAGTCTCTCAACTCAGTGGATACTGGCTGGGTGTTATAGAGCACAAGCAGGTCCAAGAGAGGATAGATAATTTGTTTTGTAGGCCAGTGGGTGGCAGGCTGTCTAGGAAGCATTCAGAAGATGAGGTCATAGTAGAGAAGCTAAATTAATCCCTTATAGCAGAGTTTCTGAGTAAGAACTGGGTAGATCTTCCATTTCAGGGCAGTTCCTTGTGAGAAGCTACATGAACTGGAAGATGTATGGCCCAAATAAAAGAATAGATAAGCTAAAAAATTCGAAGAGACATTAGGTGTGAGATAGCTGGGTTGCTAAACCGTTTTGTAACCTCAGTCTTAAAGCTATCATCTCTGCACCCAGGGACTGGAATTTAGCAGATCTAATGTGCATTGAAAATAAAAAATAGATGGATGTTCTAGAGGAGATCTGTGAACTTAGGTCAGCTGTCCTGACCACACAGTCACAGAGTCATTTAGGTTGGAAGTCATCTTTCCAGATCATCTAGTCCAAGCAGTGTCAACTACAGCAGGTTGTCCAGAACCATGCACAGTCAGGTTTTGAATATATCCTAGGATGAACGTTCTACAGCCTCCCACTTTAGGAAACATTCAGAAGGCAAATGAACAAAACACAGGATTTTTTGTCTACCACATGGTTTTATAAAATCATGATTTGCCTCTATTTTTAATGGTGAATGCAATTCTACTGCCAGTATGGGAAAAGATTCAGAGAAGGGAAGCAGTAAATGATGGTGCAGGCTAGGGTTCTGCAGTATGGAAAAGAGATAACCAGAAAGAAGCTATGTCAGAGTTATATAAAATCCTGAGTGTCATTTGGACCTTTGATATTCTATGGCTGCTTACTGTATCTTTCATGGAACGTCAGCTGAAACTAATAGAAGTCAAGTTCAGAGTGAAAAAATCAGATGTTTCTTCATGTGGTATTAAAAAGAGCTATCGATCCCCTCATCAAAGGACACTGTAGGGATCTGGGCTGTGTATAAAACCAAGGGGAGATTGGGCAAGTTTGTAGAAGAGATATCCACTGAGGGTGCATAAACAGAAATACACCTGCCTTGGGAAGTCCCTGACTACATGAGCAAGTATTATAGGAAGGTATTGTGTACACCCACCCTCTTCTTACTCATCTCTAGTTGTTCACGTATGCCTGCTGTGGTTTCTTGGTCTGGCCTAGAATTTCCGTGTGTTCCTATACCAGTGAACCCGTAAGTGTTTCATTGCATATAACACAACACATGAACAGCCCCCTGCTCTGGCTATGTAAAGCAGACATCTGTTTCTTCCTGTCTCCCATAAGGTTTCATATCACTGCATTTTTTTGAAAATAAGGACCAACATCCTCTCCTCTCAGTGTTTAAGTTCATATAAACTTAGTAGACAGCTAAAAACTCACCAGATGACGTGTATCTAACTGCAGCGCTTCTGTCTAGGGACTGCACTTTCACTTCTGCATATGTAGAATCTAAAACCAGGCAAAAATAACAGAGAAAACCAAGGAACAACTTAAATGGAACAAAAATGACTGACGTTATGAGAAATGCTATACACATCGCATCAACTGATATATGCGACTGTGTTTGACTATGCTTGAATAATATATTTCTCCATTGCATTCACAGCTAAGAGGACTTGCTATAGGCAGAAACAGATCTGATTTTTCTTCAGTGCAAACAGCAACAGAGGGGACATGGGTACCTGCACACATATTTTAAAAGGAAGTGAAGAAAAATGTGTAAGGTTGACTGTCTTATTCACATCCATACGTATGTGGTGAGACTGGCTACAACATCAAAGCAGACCTGGAAGCTGCAGATCATGCTAAATTTCAAGGGGTTAATGATAAGGTGGTGTGAAAAGAGAAAACTGTTCTAACATCTGCAGATAAAAAATACAAATAGAAACTACTGTTTGTGTCAGAGATGGTGAAGTTAAAAATGAAGAAAAAATAAAATGAAACACAAAGTGTATGAAGTCTGTTATTTTAGGTTGTAACTTCATGCAGATGTAGCAAAGCCAGTGCAAAATTTTATGCAATAATTCTTAGCTCATTAAAGCAAAATCAGTTTTATGTTAGAATTTTGCAGAGTCATTTATACTAAATCAAGCTAAATCTGCCCATGAAATATTTTATGCTTGATTTATGAAACATGTAGTTTATACAGACAAAGCCAGTAGAAAAAAAGAAACCCTGGGGCAATGCCTGCCATGCTCAGCAAGCAGGAACAAGCTGTGCATGAAACTGCTTCAAACAACAGAATCATTAGGCATTCGATCTCCTAATCAGTTTGCTGCAGGAATCAGTTTGGTGCCTGAGACCACACCTGGTTCAGGACAAGCTGGCATTCAACTGTGGAATAATCTCCCAGACTGATAGAAACTACTCATCACATAAGAAGCTCTCCCTCACATGTGTACCTTAACAAACAAAAATTAGACCCTATAACAATCCCCTTTTTGGGGGTAAAAGACCTGGATGGACACCCCACCTGTGCATTTTGCACAGCACTGGCCCTCACATTTTCTTAGTCCTGTTTGAGGCTTTGGTGTTCCACAAAAGGCTGAAGAATACAAAGAAAGCTCAATTCAGACCAATTTACCTACCTTGGACATCAGTGACCTTCTGTAGTTTGGGCCGGGTTGATTCAGTCAAGTTCAAGTCAGCATAAATGAGGCTTTCTGACATTCTTGTTCCCCCTTTACTTTCTTCCTTCTCGCTGCTGATTTTAAAATGGTCCACTGAACTGAGGACAGCTCATAGCCTTCTCCCCCATCTAACTTTCAGGAAGTAGTTCTTTCCTCTTTTAGTCATGCAGAAATCAGTGACAAGCAAGGAAGCCTACTTCTAACTGGTCTTTTTATAGCAGGCTGTTAAATGTAAGGTTGTGGATTGATGTGGTCATCTCTGTTGACAAGTGCTTCTGGCTTTAGTAGTGTTAGAGTCCAGAAGACAGTGCTCTCAAAAGCAGACACCTGAAAGCATGATATATTTGCCCCGATCCGTAGAGAAATGTATTCAGTGCTGCTGAAATAGGACCCTGCCATGCTTTGTGGCTCTTCATTTGTCTGCAGCTCTTTTAAACCAGAACCAAGCTGACTTGCTGTGGCCTGAGGAACGTGGGGTTTGTGCAGCTCAGGAACAGGTTCTTCTCCTCTATAGGTATTTGCCCTGATGGCAAATGGGAATTCATAAAATGGGATTGATCCAGCCTGTTTCAGGAAGTAAAAAGGGTGCTTAACATGCAAAGAGAGCAACTAGAATAGGTTAGTCTGGAGAAGACAAGCTGTAGGCTTTCCAGGTGTTTAATTCCCACATGACTAATGCTTTCATAGAGCAGGAGACAGTAGCTATGTGGACATTGTGCTGTGAATCATTGTTGGAGGAAATATCCTAGCTCATAGCATCATTTGAAAATGCCAGATTTAGTTTTTGTCCTGATGGGAGATGTAATTGGCCAGGAAAAACCTCATCCTCCAGCCTAATTTGCTGGTTGACAGCAGGATCAACAGGGAGTCAGCAGTGTGCCCTGGCAGCCAAGAGGGCAAACTGCGTCCTAGGGTGCATCAAAACACAGTAGAACCAGCCAGCCAAAAGAAGTGATCATCCTGCTGTTTCAGCATTGGTGCAGCCTCACCTTGACTGATGTGTGCAGTTTCGTGCCTGTTGCGGTTTAACCCCAGCTGGCAACTAAGGTATTCACAGTTGTGTGTTCACTCCCTTCCTGTGGGGTGGAGGAGAGAACTGGAGATGTGAAAGTAAAAAAACTCATGGGTTGAGGCAAAGACAGTTTAACAGGTAAAGCAAAAGCCGTGCAATGAAGCAAAGCAAAGCAAAGCATTAGTTCACTAATTCCCAACACAAGCAGGGGGTCCATCATGCATAATGGTTGCTTGGGAAGAGAAAACACCCTAATTCTGAATTGTCTGCCACTTGCTGCTTCTTCTCCCCAGCTTTATATTGCAGAGCATGACTTCATACAGTATGGAAATCAGTTGGGGTCAGCTGTCCCAGCTGTGTCCCCTCCCAACTTCTTGACACTTCGAGCCTGCTCACTGGTGGGTGGGGTGAGAAGCAGAAAAGGCCTCAACACTGTGTAAGCACTGCTTAGCAATGACTAAAACATCCCCATGTTATCAACACTGTTTTCAGCACAAATCAAAACATTGTCCCGTACTAGCTACTATGAAGAAAATAAACTGTATCTCAGCCAACACCGGCCCAGGGCCCCATGATTTAAGAAGGATGTGAAGGTCCTGTAATGTGTCCAGAGCAACAAAGCCGGTGGAAGGGCTGGAAGGCATGTCCTGTGAGGAGCAGCCAAAGGACTCTGGGTTTGTCTGGTTTGAAGGAGGCTGAGGGAGAACCTCATTGCTCTCTGCAGCTTCCTGAGGAGGGAAAGTGGTGAGAAAGGTGCTGGTCTCTCCTCCTGGGATCCCAATAGCATGAGCAGCAATACTGTGAGTTTCCTTCTCTTACCTGTATCGAGCAGCTTTCACTCCTCTGCCAGACAGGTGGGTGTGAAGCAAGCAGGCAAAGACATGAAGGTCTGGAACCAGCATCCCATTCATTCGCAATTCGAAATGAAGTGGGTCAGAGCCTGGCAGTCAGAGCATAGCACTGTGCTTTACACCTGCACATCAAGTCAAAAACTTGGTGAAACTCATTTAAACATCATCTTAACATTGTTTTTTAAAAGCAGGTTTAAGACCATTTCCTCATGTGAGTCACTACTGATTGAAGGATTGCTCTGGTTAGCCTTTCTGAACACTGCTCTTCTGGCTTTGTGTGCTCTGGCATAGATACCTCATGCTGGGTACTGTAAGCATATCTTGGTATCAGCTGTGTATAAAACAAAGACAAAGACACAGGTGAGATAGAAGTTAAACATAAAGATACATGGACTAAAAGAATGAGCAGATAATAAAAAGAGTAAAAGTAGAAATTGTAAGACACTATCAGTGGGCCATTAAAGGAACCATCAAAACATAAACCTTAGAAGGTTCAAAGAAAAACTTTGAAAATGGATGAAAAGAAAAAGAAGACTATTGCAGGTCTCATAAGAGGGAGCAAACCTATGGATGGGTTGTATGAGAGGGATTGTGGGATTGTGTAAAATTTAAGGGATATTCTAAGTGGATTGTGGGAATGTGAAAAAAAATGTTACCAGGCACTTAGGTAAGAGGTCAAAGGGAGGGAAGGAGATAAACAAACACGGGAAGACTGGGAGACAAAAAGGACAGTCCGGTGTACCTAAGCTGATTGTTGGTCAGTATGTTTGTCTGACCAAACCTGATCACTGCAAGCTACACTATCTTATTAAACTCTGTTCCTAACTATTTTCTGGGTGAGTATGCTCACTATGCTATGTATATGTGTGTGTTTGTGGTTTTGGGGTGGGATGATCCATTAGGGAGCTTCAACGAGGGCCTTTTATATAGATATTCTTATCAATTTCAAAGGACTTTCAATATAGAAAATTCTGGAAAATGTTCTCAAAGATACCAATAGGTAACATGGTTCTGAGCTAACTACACTCAGACATCAGACTTGTATCAACATTTCTTCAGGTGTGATGTACAGAAAGACAAAGGTACTCAAAGCTGGAAACAAGACAGAGCTTATCTCCATGCAAGCCAGACAAATTAGCTGGCTTATCCCAGTGATGGACAAACAGAATGCTCCCAGATTAATACTAAAATGCTGTAAAAGACAGGCTTGTATATGTGATTGAAGGAGCAAGCCTGGAGCGAGTCTGTCCTGTCCAATTTTAACTCAGTTGTGACAAGCCTGCAAATTTACCTTGTAGATAATGGTGTTTCTGATCAACAGTGGGATAAAGGTATAGGCATATATGGTTTCTTCAACTGGAACAGCAAAATGGAAAAGAAACACACATGGGTTACCTGAAGGTTCCCCTGGCAACTCAGTAATGTGCACAGGGAATTGGAGAAGCCAAAGGCAGCCAGTGCACACAGAATGAGACCCAAAACAGTGGGGGACATGGGGGAAGGGAAGAGGAAAGATGATGCTTTAACCAAAGAACTACTTGGGGTTTGGTTAAAATGGGTGAGAGGATTAAAGGGTCAAGAAGATGAAACTGTATTCTGTGGAAGGGCAAACTCATTTGTCAGCTCCACAAGGTCTTAAATTCTTTTTCTTTTAGATTTTTCTGTTTGTTTGTTTGTGGGGTTTTGTGTGGGGTTTGGTTTGTTTTGGTTTGGTTTCCCAAAAGGGAACTGCATTACTAATTTTCCTGTTGTAAGATGAACTGAGTGAACTGAAATCATCCATCCAGTTATTGAACATTTTTAATTGCTGGTTTTCTGGAGTCACAGGCACAGCACATGATAGCATTAATCCCACAAATATATACATAAAAATAGCATCCCTCTTTACTATGGAATATTGCCCACACTAATCAGCTGATTCTGCTGCAGCTTGGGTGAGTGCTGACTGTGTGGGCTGGTGCTGTTTAAAGAAAGAAGTTGTTAATGCAATACCACCTGGAATTGGTACTTTTGAACTCCATTTGACAAGAATAGGCCATGTATCATGAGATGATGCTAATGGGGGGCTCCAGCTTTCCTGGTAAAAATCCATAAATCTGACACAGATGCTGCATTAGTTAATACTGCAGGCAGCACGCACTGTAGTGTGTATTAAATATTCTGAGCTATTTACTCAAAGACTTGTCAAGAGCAGGTAAATGCATACCCATTGTTTCTCTTCTCTGTGACATTGTGTAGTTCCCACAAGACTAGGATGGGAAGCAGCAAATATCTTCAGTATATTATAGATATTTTTAAATGGGGCTGTATGGATGAGACAATAGACCTATATACGTATATGCTGAGTCAATAATTATATTGCAGTTCAGAAACACCACAGTCTGTGTGTCTGTGTTTGACTTCCCTTGGTCAAGGGAACAGGCAATACCTCACAGCTTTTCCTAAGAAATAAGCCCTTTACCCACACATAGCAAGCCTTCCATTCCCACTCCATTCCTGGCATTACTCTTGGCAGCTCTATTTGCATGTTTCCAAGATCAGTCACGTCCATCTTTTGAACATCATGGGCATGATCGATTTTGAAAAGAAAGGCAAAAGAATGGTAAATTTTTAACATGCCAAGTTCTTGTCCAATACTTACATTGTCCAACCTCCGGTCATAGGTGAAGAATATTTTGGGATCAGTTGAGTCAGATGGGCCTTTGTACCTCATCAAGAAAAGGGACTTGGAAAATCTTTGTCCTTTAAAGAATTGGACTGTGTCTTCAGTGCCAAATGCAGTAATGAGGCATGCTGCTCTCCTTACATGATGGGGCAGATCCAGGAGGATCATTGAGTACATTTGTGCTCTACAGTAGCTACTAACAGGGAATCAGTGGACTACAGTTTTGTTAGCTTTTTATGTAAGTCATCATAGCACTATATCATAGAATCACAGAATGGTAATTACTTGTAAAAATTGCTAAAACCACATTAACAATATATGAACTGCATCTGCTTGCTCTAAGTTATGAAAAGATCTATAGCACCACTGTACAGCTCCCACACGTAGAACAGTATCCAGACACTCACTATCTGAATATTTAAACATAAAGTGGTGCAGGTGTGAAATACCTGTTGCACTGTCTCATTAAAAGATCCAAATTCAAAGATAAGCAGTCTGCAAATGAGCTATTTTGAAATAAATAAAATATTTAAAGTTAAGTATACTTTATGAAAGAGGAAGGCAATAAACAGCTGGGGAAAAAAACACCTTTGCGAAAACAAGCCTTTTTCACTGGTTTTTCACCCATTGGATATTACTCAGATAATGACTTTGTTATGGTTGTAGTAAGGAGAAATATTAAAACAAAAACGAAGGATGTGAGAGAGAGGGCTAGAAGGAAGAATGTAAACTCAAACTTCATACGCAGTAACTCACATGTTTTCCCTTCAAACCGCTCCAAGGGTTCCGTGGATGTGCTTTGCAGCCTACTGAGCAAATGTGGATTTTTGTGGTCATTAATGTGCTTGTATACTGGAATGTCCCCAGACCTAAATAATTGGGAGATATTTTCTGACATGTAAAAGATTTGAAAAAACCTGAAACTTTTGTGGACCAAAATTATTTCCTGGTATAAATAAAGAGTTTCAGCTACCAATGAAGAAAAA